CATCGCAGCCAAGCCGATGTGAAATCCACACTCGGTCCCGTGATGCCGTTTACCAAGGCCAAGCAAGCACAGTGGTGGGGGATTGAACTCCCGAGACCTCTCTTCTAGCCTCTTGAAATGACTTACTCGTGCCCTCTATGGCGCTCGCATGCTTCGTCAGCTTCCTGCCTGTTGACCGCTCCTGAACCTGCGAATGGGCTTGCCTAGCAGGGGACAATTGTCGCTATTAACATCACTGGCAGTCAGCTGATACGACTATGCAGCTGCCCAGCACCTTTATCCTGCAGCGAACTGTTCAGCCTCAGGAGCTATGAGGCATTGGCGCCGGGCCCGGCATCCCGTCTCGGGGTTCGCGAAGCGAGGGCGCCGGCGCCTAGGTGAAAGCTGGCCTCGTAGTGGTCTGGTTCATCTAGCCTTTTAACTTGTCTCATTTTGGCCTTTCTCCCTCGGTCTTCCCTCCCCGCCTTCCAAACCAATACCAGCGCATGCGCCAGGCCCAGCTCTCCTCGCCCGTGAGATTTTAGGGCACTGGCGCCACGTGGTCGGGACTTGCTGTGAAGCAAAGCGCGGCCGCGACAGTTGGCTTCCGCCATGGTCAAGCACGCTAGGTGCCATGGGCTTGCTGTCGATGCGTGCATGAGGATAGCAGGCTAGTGAAAGGCCTGGAGCAAATGCTCCTTTCCACTCATCTCCGGGTGTGCTCGCCGGAGCGCAGTTCGGTTATGTTTCTCAAGCCATGAGGCTGCTCATGCAAGACACGTTCTGCCGTATTCATGGAACTAAAGCTGACAGGCCAGCCACGACGACGGCTCATCTGCGAAGAGTGGTGTCAGGGTTGAGTGAACGCGGCATAGCCTGCATATCGCCATAACCATCGGCGCTGACGTCGCATCCCGGGCTGCATCAGATGGCTTCGAAGCGAGTGAAATGTGAGGAATGTGTCGCCTGCACGACAGCACACCTCTTCTCAGGTACGTTGCAAAAAACAGAGCCTTGGCGTCCGGCTGCCCCCAGCCACTTTCGTTTGGGGGCTTGTTTTCACAGATGAGAATTGACGAATTTCAAATTTTAGATCTCGATCGCGATTCCAATCCCAATCGTGACACAACATCCCCGCACACCCACCCTCGCCAACTGTTCGGTCTTGAACTCAATCTCGCAGAAGAATGCATGTGCTTTAAATGTGGCAACTATAGAAACGACTGCGTGTGTCTGTGCATCTGTTTTAAATGAGTGTCGACAAGAGAACGTGCTTACTGCTTTATTCTGGAAGCTCACTTGTGGGTTGCCAAAACACCTACTTCTGACACAGATGCTGGAGCATGGGCATTAGTAGCGACTTTGTCACTGCTCATGGTGAACCAGATGCTGATCCATGTTCTACCCACGCCAAGGTCATCTCATGCCGCCATCGCTTGTTACGGGCATGTTGTTGATATCTGGTCAACGCATCATTCCCAGGAACCTCATCTAACGGCTCTGAATGCCGGTCGTTATGCAGACAGCTCACAATGACAACCCGAGGGTTACTGGACCTGCGCAACATGTGTGTAACGATATCCCAAATCCCCTTCACCATCACCTGAAGGTCCAGGTTCTATCTTTATCATTTCGTCTGCCTCTTCCGACGGACACATACAGGCTCGCTACCAGGCCAGTTTGGTCTCAGGGGCAAACCTGATCTCCGTCCATATCCAAGATGCCGCACCCGGCTTGCCGTCGCCAAGCCTAAGAATGATGCCGCTTGTTAAAGGCTAGGTCATGAATTTGACAAGACACCCTCTCCGACGGGTCTTGTCAAAGAAACGAGACGCTCCCTGGTCGAGGGCTCGCTGAAGGAACGGCTTTGCCTTCTCATAGCACCACAATATACCGGTCATCACAGCGACTTTGCTATGGTGTTCCATCGTATCCAGCCGGCCAAAGTCCTCGAAGACGCAAGTCGCGCCGTGGCTCAGTAGCAGTTGCAACATGCTGAGATCAGCATGGCTCCGGCCCATAAAGTGCTACCCAAGGATTGAACGGAGGATGGTCTCCTTGGACTCTGCCCACATATTGGGCTATGCGCCAGGCCGAAGCAAGATCTCCATCGCCCCGATCCCACTGCTTTCGTGGCCTTTTGAAGTGATATCGAGTCCATGCCGACTGAATAAAGGCCTTTATGTAGCACAGCGCTCGCGTCAACGTTGTCGCCTCTCGCTCCGAGCAGCTTCATCAGTTCGTCATGTTCCCTCCCCCGTTCTTCAACATTGGCTGAGGGCCGCTCGCACGTAGCATAGGCTGTTTGAACCCTGTCGTCGTTTCCTGCAACACATAACATGTGGGTGGTTGTTTATGAGGCCGTAGTACATTCGGCGGGAAACGCGGGTCAGGGAGGCCCTGTCCGCGAAACCATACATGAACCCGCAACTCTCGCCGCGGACTGGAGCCGTCTAGTAGAGATATCTGTCTCATTCCGGTAGATATAAGATTCTTCTTCTACCAGAAGTTTGATCATGGGGAGAAAATTGTCCTTGCCACATGCACTTGATCTGGAAGTAATTTATCCGCTACGATGTACACAATACCGTCTGGGAGGGTATTTGGATTGATCGAAGGCATCGTAGTGGTCTGTCACTAAATTCTCACCCCTTCAGCTTTAGCGAGTCTTCGAAGGGCTGTGTGTGATAAAAAAGGACAGAAGACAATGGCTGCGTTATTATCTTGCCGACGGGCCTGTTTATTGGTTTCCGGTTGATGAGATGTACATCACATTCAGATTTCGCAAATCGGAGGTAACATATAGGACATACCTGGATAGGTAGGGCAGAAGCTAACTAATACAGTGCACCTTTTCATTTCTAAAGAGCCACATGTCGTCGTGAAGAAAACCAAGAACATCCTTGCGAGCATACTCAAACATGGGGTTCATTACCCGAGGTACCGTTCGTGGGTGCCAGGTTGCCGTGATGACCTCCATGGTGCACCCTGTCGTCGCTTCGCTTGGCCGTGCCTGGCTCGCGAATGTGCAGGCCTAAAGCCGCCGGGTCGATGTTGCGGTGGCCCAAGAGGAGCAGAAAGCCGAAGACGGGCTTGGCGATCACGTCTAGGATGCCGTAGAAGATGGCCTCAGAGTCAGGGTGAATCACGTTGCCGCCCTCGCTCAGCCCCCAGGCAATGGGGTAGAGGAACCAGAGGAAGATGGTGAGGACACCGCAGCGGGTGTAGGTGGTCGAGATGGAGCCGCCGAGGGCGTTGGCGTGGTGGCGGCCGTCAAAGACGAGGGCGTAGACGACGTAGAAGAAGGCAAACATGCCAAAGACCCAGTAGCCCCATTTGTAGGAGGAGCTGACAAGGGAGCCAACGAGACCGCATACAATCATGATCCAGTCGGCTAGGATGACGACAAGAATCGTTGGCCAGGGGAGGCCGGCGGTGAGGCAGAGATCGAGGAGCAGGAGCGGAGTCGTGATAAACCAGTCGATGTAGCGAACGTAGAAAATCTCACGGGTGCCGGCGGCGCTCACTGAATGATCGGAGCGCTCAAACTCAACTTGGATGGGCGTCTGACCAAGATTGGAGCCCATGGAGAAATAGGCAATGCAGGCGACCAGGGTGATGCTGGCCGTGATGTAGTGAAAGAGGCGATGGGTTTGGCGCTTACGACTCGCCATGGCCAGGAATGCTATTGTCGAAGCTCCCATGATGGCGCAGACTGTGTAATACCAGTCAGATGCGCGAACAGAGATGGCCAAATCGGCTTGCTGGCCGACGCCGCTGTTATCGCTGAGAGCTTGGTTGCCTCCCATTGTGAGATGTTCCAAGGCCAATGTACAAATCTTAATAATGATCAGAAACGTCGAATAAATACGGTACTGGGTGGATTGCAGAGCGAAGTGCAGTGGCCGATGCCCAGGAGTTCGAAGCGAGCAGGGTCCTGAACATATAGTCGTTGAAGGTATACTAGCTAGAGTAGTATGACCTCATGGCGTTTGATGTTTTATCGCGATAGCCACCCATACACATGTCTGCAGTACTTTGACTAATTTCTTGCTGCAGCTCCAGGGTCGCAAATGCTCCGATATGACTTCGGGCTGACGTGGTGGCATGGTGACGTGGTGACCATCGAACGATCTCATCAACGCTCTTCAAGATTTTACTACTGACGCAAACCTTTTACTCAATCATCAGTCAAATTCCTGGCAATACCGAACCCCCGATCCGATAGATGTTGCCCACACATTGTCACGGGCGCATTGGCCAGAAGTGTTCCTGAGGGTCACGAGCAACACAGTGATGGGCGGGACGCTCCAATGACTACGTGATGGGTCAAGACAACTCATGATGCAGTAGAGATTTCAAGATTTTCCCGATAGCATTGAAATCCCCATGACTGATTGTGGCAGCCGCGTCGATGCCATTGCCGGTGGTCGATGAAGTCACCACTCGTCCGGCCGTTGCTCCGGGGGGTCCACTCGGCAACTCCGTGCCGGTCTGTCAACCATCTAAGCTCTCCATTAGCTCCGGTAGTGGGTTGAATGACCAGGATCCTTGCATCACCGTTTTTGCAAGTGCCGTCATGGGATTCACAATCGTGCCAAATAGCAATGTTCTGTCATGAAATCCAACGGGCGGCCTTGGTGTGCCCTGGTAAGGCGTAAGTTTACCTCATCATCGGTAATGGCGGCATCAGTGCGCAAAGAACAAGGGTCTTTCGTCATTACGACGTTTTCAACCCCGTAGATGCTGTCGATTGAGGAGCCTGGAAGTCTGCGACTTACCTAAGAAATCCGATGCCGAGGCAAGCTGCAACTTAGTTGTAAGTTTGATCTTTTTGTGTCTTAGTAGGTTGTGGGTGTCTGGGTCCAAGGTGCCCGTTTCAGAACTTCTTGACAAGGAATTGAAAATCCTCACCAATGATTGTTCTTCTGTGAAGAACATCAAGTTGAATGCTTTCTCAGCCTCGGGTACTCATACAACTGCCGAGAATATGGGGGGAACACACGAAGGCTCAGCAGAGCATGTTCCCTTTGTATCATTTTCAAGTCGAAGAAGTAGTCATCCGTGAGTCTCAACACATCTTTGTTAGCTGTACGCGTTCTTCGAGATGAAAACTGACAAGTCAAGATACCTCTCTGGAAACTTCGCTCCTATCCAGAGCTCTCTTCCTCTCACGCGCTGCTCGTACACTGGAACAATCCCACCAGATCTTGCTGGCGGGCAGTACGTCCGTAACGGCGGCAACCCCCTCGCCAACAATGACCCAGAGCGCACAGCACACTGGTTCGACGGCGACGGCATGTTGTCAGGCGTTCTATTTCGGTCTTCCACTGACGGCTCTATCGTTCCGGAGTTTGTCAATCAATACCTTGAGACCGATGTGTTCAGGTATACGAAGCGCAATAAACATCTGACGAGACCTGTACTGCCTAGTATCGCCTCGTTAGTGAACCCAGCATCATCTTTCCTGTACATCATGTTCGAAATTTTGCGAGCCGTGCTCCTTGTCGTTCTCTCCAAGTTTCAGAGCGCAGGTGCCACGATTAAGAAGATCAGTGTTGCCAACACAAGCGTCATTTTCCATGACGGTCGTGCCTTGGCCACATGTGAGAGCGGTCCGCCCTTACGCTTCACGCTGCCTTCCCTTGAAACAGTTGGGTGGTTCGATGGAGACAAAGCAGAGAATGAGATCCCTACAGCAAGCTCTGAAGGCACATTCGGAGGACATGGGCCCCTGTCGTGGATGCGAGAATGGACAACGGCCCACCCGCGAGTCGACCCCCTAACAAACGAGCTGATATCCTACCACTCGACCTTCGTTGCCCCCTATGTTCGCTACTCTGTCATACAACCACGGCACACCAAGTCCCTCGAAGCCAGAAGAGCGAAGCCCTCTCTCGTCAACAAACCCATCCCCGGGATCTCGTCCCCCAAGATGATGCACGACTTTGGCGTGTCGCTCGCGCACACCGTCATCCTGGACCTGCCCCTATCTCTCGATCCCATGAACCTCCTGCATGGCAACCCAAGTGTCTCCTACGACTCGACAGCCCGCTCTCGCTTCGGCGTCTTCCCCCGTCACAACCCCGATCCCATCAAATGGTTCGAGACGAACCCCTGCATCATCTTCCACACCGCAAACTGTTGGGAGGAGCCCGCGACCCTCCAGCGCGACGCAGCCCTCCACCTCCTCGCCTGCCGCCTCACCTCCCCCTCGATGATCTTCAGCGCCGGAAACCTCCCAACGCCAGCCGTCCGCCCCGTGCCTCCGGAGTACGCCGAGGAAGAGCAGTGCCGGCTCTACTACTTCTCCTTCCCCCTCGGCAACGACAACAATGACGCAGCCATCCAGCACCAGTGGGCCCTGTCAGCGATCGCCTTCGAGTTCCCCACCGTCGCCCCGGCCGCCGCCATGCGCGACGCGCGCTACGTCTACGGCTGCACGACGGGCCGGGACACCTACGCGGCGCCCCTGGGCAAGGCCGCCAAGATCGACCACCTGGCCAAGATGGACGTCGCGACGCTCATCGCGCGTGGGGAGGCGGATCCGCCGCGCGAGGTTACGGGATGCGTTGACGCGAGGACGGTCAGGGAGATCATGGCGCACGACGACCCGCGCGATCCGATCCGGCTCTTCGGGATGCCGGAGGGGTGGTTCGCGCAGGAGCCGCGATTTGTGCCGAGGGACGGGGCCAGGAGCGAGGATGACGGGTTCTTGTTGACGTATGTGTTTGACGAGGCGCAGTTGGACGAGACGGGTGCATGTAGGCCTGGTGCCGTGAGTGAGCTGTGGGTCATTGATGCAAAGGGCATGCGGGATGTTGTTGCGAGGGTGAAACTGCCACAGAGGGTGCCGTATGGGTTGCATGGGAATTGGTTCGACGAAGAGGACATCAGTGGACAGATTCCGTATGAAAAGGTGAGAGGTCAGGAGGGGGAAAGGAGGGGGACTGGCTTGCTGGACAAGATACGAGAGAGATGTGAAGATTGGGTTAAATAGAACACATTTCATGATCGGCTCGTGGATTTCAATGAGCGAGCCCAAATCGAGGGAGCTTCATTACACTTCTTTATTACACTTGTTCGGACAGTTAACCTTGGGAAGCGAAGAGGTGATCACGTTGCCAAGGGACAAGCTGGTGTGAAGATTTATTGATTGGCTAGCAACTTCGAAGCGGCCACGAACGGCACGCTACGAAGGCGCTGCAGGAAAGGTGCGAGTCAAGAGATCACTCATCGACATTGTATCGCAGAGAAAGTCATCAAACCCCCAGGTTGTTGTTATGAACAGCCTCTATCATCATCTTCATTCCAGTCCAGCGTGATGACGATGTTGGATCGATACATCCGTTGGTGGTATCTCGTGTAAAGCATAACCCCGGCATTTTACATGCCAACTCCGTTTCGAGAGGTGCAGTTGATTCCAGCAGAGCACTCTGACGATAATTGGGCAAACACAATCTTTTGTTTAAACCTGGTCCTCCGGGGGCGGCAGGCTAACCTGGACGCCAAGACCAAGCTTGCGCTTGATGGCCTTCCAAGTCTCGAAAAGGGCAATGTATACAACAACGCAGCCTGCAACAATGCCCCATTCCCATGTGATGCCAGTGTGCTTGAACACTGCGTGATTGATAACAGGGATGTAGACAACGGGGAACGTCATGACGAAGCCGCCAATAACGGCCCAGAAGAGGAAGCGGTTCTTCCAGACTGTCTTGAAAACAGACAAGGGTCCACTGTGAGACTCATGCTCCATGTTGAACAAGCTGCGCTGGAAGTGCTTGACCTCCCAGGATGTGACAAGCAGGAGGAAGCTCAGCGTCGAGAAGGTCGTCGAACGGGCGCGGAAAGCAACATCGCAGGAGGGGTTGTATCCTTCGTTACAGCCGTGTCCAAGATCGCCGCCGCCGGGGCCGTAGGTGACGGATGCGAAGGCAGCGAGACAGAGAGATCCCATGCACACACCGTAGATCATCTTGTCGCGGACCAGGTCGAAGGTAAAGACACCAACACGTAGGTCGTGAGGCTTGCGGTAGAGAATATCGGGCTGAGCCTCTTCAAGGCCCAGACCGATGGCGAGGAATGACGAAGTGATAAGGTTCGCCCACAAAATCTCAATAGGAGACAAGGGGAAGATGGACGTGCCAGAGTCGTCCTGGAAGACCAGGCCGATCAATAGAAGGAAAACCTGTGCAATGTTGGAAATCAGAAGATGGAGGAGGAACTGTAAACGCCATTAGTCAAATGCGTAGCTGATGGTAAAATCAGCAACGTACCTTCTGGATATTGTCAAACAAGCGCCGGCCCTGTTGAATTGCAGTAACGATGGACGAGAAGTTGTCATCTGTAAGAACCATATCAGCCGCCTCCTTGGCGACGTCACTGCCTCGCTTGCCCATGGCAATACCAACATCGGCCTTCTTGAGAGCGGGCGAGTCGTTGACACCATCACCCGTCATGATACAGAAGGCCTTGCGGCGGTGCATCGCTTCAAGCATGCGCACCTTGGTCAAAGGGCTACAGCGAGCGAGGACGAGAGGCAGACTTTCCAGGCTGTCAATCTCCTGCTCGGACATGGAATCAAAGCGGCTCGCAGGCATAACAGCCCAGTCGCCCTCGCCTCCCTGAAGGATGCCGACTTCGTAAGCGATGGCGGTGGCAGTCTTAATGTGGTCACCAGTGGCCATATGGACGGAGATACCGGCAGTCTTGCATTTCTTGACAGCGCCGAGAGTTTCGACACGGGGAGGATCGTAGAGACCGGCGAGGCCGAGGAAACGAAGGCCCTTCTCCGTCTCCTCGCGCTTGGTGGCATCTTCATCGTCAGACAGAGATCGGGATCCAACGCAAAGGACACGAAGGCCCTCGGAGGCAAGCTCGTCAGCCTTGGCAGCGATGCGAGCCTTGACCTCCTCGGTCTCGTTGAGACGGGCCATCATGACTTCGACGGCACCCTTGGTGTAGATGTTGCGGACCTTGGAGGCCTCATAAATAACAGACATCATCTTCACAGAAGAGTCAAAGGGGAATTCGGAAACCAGTCTGCTGTTGTCGCCCTGAACGACGTCGGCCTTGCCCTTGCCGAAGCGCATGGCGAAGACGTGAAGCGCAATCTCGGTAGGCTCGCCAATGGCGGACCAGTTGGGTGCTACTTCGGTCTGCACGGTGGTCATCGACTCGGTGTCGGTGCCGGTAGCCTTGCCGTCGGTGACGACAGAGTTGTTGCAGAGGGAGATGGCCTTGAGGAAAGCGCCCATCGTGGAGGCCTGGATCGTGTCATCGCTGTTTCCAACGGTGGGAGTCGAGGCGGAACTCGAGGCAGAGCTGGTCAGGCCGGGCCACTTGATTCTACCGCTGGCAGGGTCGTAAGGATCGGTGCAGTCCTCAATGACGGCAGTCGTCTCCTCGGACAGCCAGATCTTACGAGTGATCATGCGGCCCTGGGTAAGGGTACCCGTCTTGTCGGAACAGATGTTGGTCACGCCGCCCACAGCTTCGAGAGAAGCCAGCTTGCGGACGATAACATTGCCCTTCGCCATGGCCTTGGTACCGACAGCCATAGTGATGGTCAAGACTGCGATGAGGGACTCGGGGATAACCGCGACACCGACGCAGATACCATAGATGAGGACCTGCGAGCTGATCTCAAACTTGCTGGCGGAGAAGACGATGATGGCGAGGAGGATGGCAAGGCCGAACAAGAGCAGAGCGAATTTGCTGAGCTTAACCTGTAGGGGCGTGCCAACGAGGCCGAGGATGCTCTTGGCACCGTCCTTAAAACGATACCAGGCGCGAGCCGGGAGCGAGGCACCCTCAACCTTCTTGCGCGTCGTGCGCAGCATGGCCGCGATCTTGCCAACCTCTGTGTCGGCGCCGATCGCTGCGACAAGACCACGAGCGCGACCGCGGGTGATGGTGGTCGCTGAGTAGACCATGTTGAGGCGGTCACCCAGAGGGAGGTCCGCGTCGTGGAAAATAGCCTCGGGATGCTTACTAGTGGGAAGCGATTCGCCGGTCAACAGTGCCTCGTCGGAAGACAGGTTGATGCCGTCGAGGAGACGAAGATCGGCAGGCACGACATCACCGACGGAGATCATGACGAGATCACCCTTGACGAGGGTCTCGGCCTTGACGGACTCAATGTTGCCGTCGCGAACGACTTTACAGGTAGGGGCCGACAGGGCGTATAGCGACTGAATGGTCTGTTCAGCGCGATAGTCCTGAACGAAACCAACGACGATGTTGAGCACGATGACGGCGGTGATGACACCGCCCTCAATGTAGTCCTTGATAGCGAAGGACAGGATCATAACGATCACGAGAACGAGGGTCAGACTGTTCGAGATCTGTCTCATGAGAATCTCCCAAACGGATAGGCCCTTGGCTCCCTCGAGAGCGTTGGGGCCATCACGCTCGAGGCGGGCAGCGGCCTCGCTCTTGGAAAGACCATTATCAAGGTCGGTCTGCCAGGTGTTTCGGAGGCTGCTGATGGGGATGCAGTGAACGGGTCGGAGAGCATCGTGCTGGTGTTCGGGTCCCTTTTCCTGCTGAAGTCTCTCGACTAGCTGATGCTCCTTCTGCTGCTGCTCGACAGTGTGCGAGTCCTTGAGATAGGTAGCGCTGGTGGTACTGGTAATGGCAGTACTAGTTGCTGTGATGATGGGGGGCTTCTCATTGAAACCACCTATACCATTCGAGGGGTCGTCCTGCTCGGCAGCGGGCTCCGCAGAATCGTAGTTGTGACCATTCCTGGTGGCGTCGGTTTCTCCCATCGGATACTGGTTGGTTCCTTGGTGTAAGCAAGCGGGTTTGCAAATGAATGCAAGAGACGTGTGATTGCGAGAAGGGTGGGTTGGGGGAGAGAAGGGGGATTGGGAGGGTGTGAAGGAATGGAAAGGCAAGCACGGATGAGGGAGGATCGGGGGCGGGTTCTTTAAACCTTTTGCGGGGGGGGGGCAGAGTGAATGGGAGAATGGCAGACCACGAGGACTTGATGGACGGGCGCACTTCCATGGACTGACGACGGACGGCCGATGAGAAGCGGCTCGGGGATCGTCCGGTCGGGGCGGGCATGCGTGGGTGGGAAAGGTGTCACACGCCCAAACGGATATGGCGTTACTCCACGCCAAGTACCAGACGTACCTCCCAGTTCCTCCACTGTACATCCTGACGGCAACCTCCAACGCACGCGACGTTCCATTTTCTTGATGGCCAGGCCTAGCTCGTCATGTCGCTTGCTGCACAACGCGTGGTGTTTGCTGCATTCTGCTTACTGTTCCTGGGGCTCCAGAGGGGCAGACTGCCTCTGCCTCCCAGCACGAGGCTCTCCTAGTACCTGAGGACGATCATCGCGGTCCTGCCGGCTACCCACTTTCTGTCGGCTGCTGATCGCATCTCTTGGGCACACGCCTTGGTCGCGGAATAAGCATTGGTTGGCGCATGGGATGTGGAGAGGACAGCAGAGGGGAAAGGGCGTCGCCAAGTGTTGCTGGTGCACCAAGTTTGTCGAGACTCCAGAAACTCAGCAAGGAACTGGCCTTCGCCTGTCGGTCATCGTCCGAACGGCACGGTCATCGTCCGTCGTTGGCGGAGGCTGACTGGACTGGTGCTCCACCCTCTGCGTTGAGCCAAGTCGTCGTCACCAAGCTGAGGAGCGCCAATCAAGGAGGATTGAAGATGTAGAGCGACCAATCAGAGCGAATTCCAGCGGGCTTCGAGACCAATTGAACAGCACAATGCGGGGAGGCGAGAGGACCCAGTGGCTGTGTTGACGCTTTAGACGCTTGGCGGGTGGGAGGGAGAGCGAGGCGGATTGGAGTGACGGGAATCGGTGATAGGCAGGGCGAGATGCTGGGATGTGGAGGGTGCTGCTGAAGAGAGAGAGCGAGAGAGAGAGAGAAAGGAAGCGAATACAGATACAGGGTGGAGCGGGAGAACGACGACAGAAACAGGGTGTCTTACCGTGTCTTGCTGTGGCATCATCGTCATGACGTGGAACCCTCGAGGCCACGGACCAGCAGGAGCGCAAGGGGACAGTGAGGATAGCGATGCTCAATAGGTGCTGAAACGAAGGGCGACAAGGAAATTGTGTTGATGATGCGCCCTCGGGAATCCGCACATGGTTTGTTCTGCTTCATCTTGTGCCGACAATGCCAATGCCAATGCCAATTTTTCTGCTCGTGGGCCACCGAGGCAAGAAGGCAGGAGCAACTCACGATGACTGCTTCCCACACAACAAACACGTCACTCTCAATCACTGCTTGCCACTTCTACCTCGTCTGCAGGTAGGTCCCCAGGCAGGTCTTGCCTGTTTGTTGGTCACCGCTCGGTAGGTACCTTAAGGTAGGTAGCACAGGGCCGATTCACGGTGTTCAAATTCCTCTCCCTGCAGCGTCAGTCGGGTATCATCTGCAAAGCCCGCCTCACGATGGACGACGCTGAGACACCATACCCTCCTCAACAGACGTGACAACTTCATGACATGACCACCAACAATCAAGTTTCACGACAAAGCTGGCACACCACACACAACAGTCAAGCTTTTGGGTGCCTCTCGGACACTCTCCGACAACGTCACTTGGCATCACTTGGCGACTGGAATCACTTGGCCATGGACGGTCTTGCATGTTGGGCCTGTGTATTCTGTGCAGCCAACCCTGACTCGAGCGACAAGCGACGAGCGACGAACATTCAATCCCTCCCGTAATCCTCTTTTGGTTTTACGATCCGCCCGTGGGAGCCTCATGTGACCTAGGTACCTTACCTACGGCCAGGTCGTGGACCAGTGCCTAGCCAGAGGCGGCCCCACCGCGGGATTCAGTCCTAGACCCCTACCGGGGCCTGTGTGGGGGCGTGCCCTCTCCAGCTCAAGTACGAGGCCGTGGCACAGCCATTGGAAGGCGCTGGAAATCCGGGCAGGATTCTGCATCTGGATCTACCTGGCTACTTTCCTCGGTAGGTAGGTAACTAGATCTGGGATCTGTTGAGAAGCGCCGATTCAAGTGCCGTGACGAATCTTGCCACAGCATGCGGCGCACGAGATGGCGCTGGAGGCAAGAACCTTGCGCAATGTTCGTCAGAGGCAGGGCGGCCTCCCGTATTGGTGATTCACATGGTGACTCGATTGTGTCTGGGAAGCGCTCCCTCGTGACCATTATTGTTCCGTTAGGTACGACGTGCACCACGGTCGTTCTGTCTGCGTTTGAGCCGCCTCGCGACGGCAACAGCGAGGGACCATGCAAGGTGAGGGACCCTGTCGACCTTACAGGTAAGCGAGGGCAGCGGCAGTCGACGGGCGGCCCCTTCCAGATCTGAGTACCTACTTTGCGTGGGGGTAGGTGGTTGGGGCAGGTGCCGATCAGGATTGTAGCAGAACTACGTAGCACCGCACGCCCAAGTTAGGTACCTAGGAAAGGAACTTCTGCCGGTATCGACGGACAGTCTCCGATATGCATGTCGGCAGTTACCTCATCTACTTCGGGGGCAACGAGAATAAAATCAAAATCAACACAATTGGTCAAGGTTACAGTCGTCAGATTCTTGTGCCAAGATTGGGCTACTTTCACAAATGTGTAGGGTAGCACAGCAGAAACACAATCTGTGACAATTCTGGCTTGGACAGCAAATGGTATTTTTGGCACGCAAAGCCTCCAGTAGCTGCTTCCCCAGGTTTCGTTCTTGGGCTTGTGCGTCTCATCGAGGTCGTTCGCCCCATCCTAGGGGGACCACCTGATATCCTTGTCCCCAGCGCAACCAGGTGAATGAATGTGCATTGATCTGGATAGCTCCTCACCACCCCAAGAAATAAGGAATCGATTTGCAGTGAAGAGTGCTGGCAGGCGTACAATGGCTCCACTTCTCCATCCATTTCCTTCCACGACGGCATGAAGCCCATGGATGTCTGCGGGGAAAGTCGGGGACACCAAGGCATGATCCCAACGCTGCCGTATGGAACACCATGCTTCCCCTCAACGATGGCGGGTCCTCTGTAGGAGATCTCCCCGCGCTCGAACCATCAGGACCCTCTTCGGTCAATGTCCGCCCAAAGACCTGCATCGACCGACCGCCGGAAGGCACGTCTCGGCGTCGGAAAACGCCCGACGGCGGTTGCACTCGGCGCGGCCGTCGGAAATGAAAACCGTCGCTCGGCTCAGATGGCGATCCGTCGGCCTTTGATTTGCAGCCCGTAGGCATGGCAGTCCCAGTCTGGTTCGCAAGGCGATGAACCGATTCAAGTCGATGCAGGGCCTTCATCAGATCGCTTGAGTATTGGACAGATGTCTCACGAGCTACAATGACATCGCAAAGCTGCCACTGAGGATCAAGATTCGTGCGGCCATCATGCCAGAGTCAGGTCGACAAGTTATGTCCCCGACGAAGGGAGAGAGAAATTTACTAACTTAATGACGATGCCACGGTTGCGTTCAACTTGATGTCGTGTGCCACTCACAGGCCAATTCCCCCATCAATCGCCGATGCTGTCACATCGTCCACTGCACTAGCCCGTGTCCTAGAAGTTCCTGCTTGACCAGTATACAGATCACAAATCCTTCACGCATGAGCCTGATCTGCTGTTTCTTATCAGATTTATATCAGATTTTGAGTCGTCTGAAGTATCACGAGCCGAATGAGGGTGACAATCAAAGACTGAGGGTAGCTGTCTCCTGAGTGTGACAATAGAACGAGAGAGTCTACCAGCCCCAACAGCTACCATGCCATTTTGAAGCTGGTCAAGATGCTAACAGTTGACCTAATGTTAGACTGAGGGAGACAGCTGATTTGATTTCGAGTAGCAATACTGCAGCAATGGTCACTGCGAAAATGCCTAGCCAGCCATAGGCCCTAGCTGACGGCATGCTCCGGCGATTATTCTGGAAGGAAACCTTATAGTAGTAGGTATCAGAGCATGTGGGTGATCGGAGTGAAGAGGACTCCTGATCCGCAGTCAATTGTTAGGTAGGGTTTAGGAACACATCTGAATCTGGTCCTCCGCAGTCCTTATGTACGCCGTCTCGTAGTCTCAAGTTCCTAAACTAACCCCCTGTCCCGTGGCTCCGCAGGTGCTTGCTGACATGAGCTACATGCTGGTTGTTATCAACAATTTGTGTACTATTTGTACAAATACTGAACTTCATGTCACTCGTCTGCTACGACCCGAACGTTCTCAACAGTTCGACAGCCGTGGAGGGATAACCACTGGTCATAAGTGAGGCATGCTTGTGGGAAAGCATTTCACGAAAAAGGTTACACTTCATCGCACTTTTCTTTTCTAGTAGGGATAATCAATCTAGATGACAGCATGTTGCTTCACATCTTTGGGACTAGATCGCCAGCAGCATTCTGTCTTGATCGTGTGCTCCCGTATTCTCGAGAATTTCGCTGGACCTGGTTCATTAAGAAACTCATACTGCATTCCTCTCTGAGGAGCATGAGTATCTTGCTGACGAATAAATCCACTAAGGAATAACGAGAAGATACAATGTAGTGGAAGGTCAACATGAGCAACCTAGTCTGTACGCAGACAAGGGCTTTCAGGCAAATCCATCCACAGCAGTCTTAATTACATCCTTAAGTTGTGCCAATCTCAACGTCTCCGCTGATAGCTTCTCCCTTCAAGTTATTGTCTATTTGAGCAGAAATCGTATGCATCCTTCTTCTGCGCCGGACCCAGCACCAGACACGTCAACCATAAATAACGCCAGCAGTGAGTAATACAGTCAAAACCGTATAGACCTTCATCTGTCTGGTGGGGTCGCCGTTTCTAGCTACATCTTCAAACCACGGCGTCGAGAACAGGGTCTACCAGGCGCCAGGGTCTTCCGCGTTGTCCGCTACAGAGCCAACTTACCGTTGTGAATGCTTCAGGCAAAAGTATCATCGTGATGATAGTGATGGCCGTCATGGACGTTGTGTCTTACCAACCAGCGCGGTCAATGTTTGTAGACTCGACTCGACTGCTAATTTGAGCGTTGCTTTGTGGTTGCGCTGAGTGATGACTATCCGCAGACCATAGATAATAGTGGCACATCTCGCGCGACCACTCACATTAAAGCGTCCTGCGCGCTCGAAGTCAGTCTTCAGTAAGGATGGTTCACGCTTATACAGCCTAGTGCTACCGACGCAGTTTTATCTTTCCACGCAAATTTCACACAGTAGTGATCGGGTCATGCTAGCATGAGGGCGGTGATCGAGGCCGATTCATGGAAGAGCTGGTCTAAGAATGCCCACTCATCGGACATTCGCATTTCGGGGTCAACCTGACCAAGCACGCCCCATGACTGGAAGCCTGGAAAGACTTGGATCCAAGACACTTTGTGACACGCCCTGTCGACTCTCTCAGCAAAACAGATGTGCACGCCACAGAGAGATGATATGGGCCATGCCAGCAATGTCTTAGAGATGAATCGTCGTTGATGCACAACGTTGATGAGTCTATTTTCTCCTGACGTAGGTCGTGTTACTAGGAGTATGAGACTGCGATTCGACTGCGCGATGTGAACTCAGGACGTAGAAGCTAATGGAGCCAATAGCTTGTCCACCAGAAATGCACGCATCTCCTTTGACCTGTCTGGCACGGATGCCTCGTTTTTCGGAACGAAACCCTAGTGTTGGTCAAGCGATCATCGAGGTATTCTGACTGAAAAGTCACCGCGCGATATGTGACTTGAGGTTCGGTAGACGATAGAGCTGATGTCCCATCGTGAGAGCCATCCCCAGCAACACCTTCGTCATCTATGATGCTAAATAAACGAGCAAAATCCATAACTATCGAGATTGAGTCCTTGTGTCCATAAATACAGCAGATGACACGGGACGACAGGACTGATGGCTCGTTGATTTATACATTCTGACGGAATATGTTGCGTTTTGCACCCAATGTTGTATCAGAAGCATCACTGACGTGGCAAGCTGAGAAGCCAACAACCTTAAGACCATGTCATTGAGCTAGTAAGGTATTTCATGTGAAATGATCTGTATCCAGCACCCGTTTGTTGGAAGCCATCCATCTGACCCCCGAGAAAACGCAGCTGACTTGTGGCTCAACTTAAAAAGCAGAACTTCGCATCGAGCGCCCACGTGTAGTGCATTCCCTGATTATCAATGTCTCTCCCCACAACACATGATAACCTCAAACCGTACCAGGGCAATAGAAGGCATTTTGGCCGAGGAAAAGCAGCACATACACTGCAATGTGGCTAGAGCCTTGTCTGGGGAGGACTCCGCCAAGCTGCCGTCTGACATGGTCACACCATATCCATTGGTGGGTGCAACCTCACGCCACAAGCAGGACGACAATTGAACGGAAGCTGGGCGACCCGAAAATAGATCAAAAGGGGGTAAAGAGAAAGGTCAAGAAGCAAATCGCGACAAACGAGGCTCTGCGGGCCATCGGTTACCCGAAGCAGTAGGTCGATGCGTCGAGGGTGGTGCGAAGGAGATCCGGCCGGGGCGGGGTGGGTGGCCTTGGTGGTGCCGTGCGTTTCGTTTCATCTGAACATGTCAAGCATCAAGATGGTGAAAAAAGCTGAGTTGCCAGCCATCGCAGAGGCAGTGCCCCCAACTGAAGGCGACGCTCGGTCGCAATCTCTGCATCCTCTTCGACATGCTGTCTGTCGGGTCTGTTTTGGGTGCTACGGGCTGCTTGTCGCAGGCATGGAAAGCTTCGACGCGCTGGGGCTCCAAGCTGGAACTCCGGGCTTTGAGGCAAAAGAATGGACGATTCGCGGAATATTGCTTGCAACGAATAACATAAAGAGGAGCATGTGTCCTTGGAGGAACATGATTCTCGTCCCCTTCCATACAAGCTAGTTTGATCAACGTGGAGGTTCATACTAGTTTCGAGTTTTGTTTACCACAGCAACTTTCTCTTCTTTTGCGGATCATCTTGAGCTGGCTTGAGAGTATCACTTGATTTTGGCTTCTTCGTCCTCCCACCAACAATCAGCACATTGATCAAGATGCATTTCAGCGCCCTCCTCGTTAAGACGCTGCTGGCCGGTGGCGCCATTGCCGCCCCTTCGATGCACAGGCGCCAGCTGCAGACCATCCAGGGTGCCATCACCACGGTGCAATCAGCACTGGATGATCTCACCACAGCCGTTCAGGTAAGAAAGCGCAGCGTAACAAGTATGGAAATCCGTGATCTGACACAGTACAGAGTCTTTCTGGAGCTGACGCCAACTCGGCGGCGCCCATCCTGACGGCGTCAGAGAAGGTCAAGACGGCCATCGGAACGGCGACGACGCAGGTGCAAGGTGCCCAAGCTCTCAGCCTCATGGAGGCTCTTGGGCTGCAAGACACGGCATCGGGCCTCGTGACATCCGTTCAGGGTGTGACCACGGCTCTGACGAGCAAGAAGGCAGACCTTGATCAGCTCGGTGTGACCTCTATTGCTGTGCAGACGCTCAAGGACCAGCAGGCCTCGAGCAAGGCCCTCAGTGACGCCATCGTGTCCAAGGTGCCCGCCATTGGCCAGGGCATCGCCCAGCAGAGCACACAGCAGATCAGCGATGCCATCCAGCAGGGCATCACGGCGTTGTCGGCGCCGCCTGCCGCAGGAGGAGGCGCCGGCGGTGGTGCTACTCCGGCCCGTCCTTCGCAGCCAGCTCAACCCTCGGCTCGTCCTTCTCAGGCTCCGGCCCGCCCTGCCCAGCCCGCTCAGCCTGCCCAGCCCGCTCAGCCTGCCCAGCCTCCCGCTCGTCCTGCTCAGCCAGCTCAACCTCCTGCTCAACCTCCCGCTCGTCCTGCCCAGCCTCCCGCTCGTCCTGCCCAGCCTGCCCAGCCCGTATCTCCTGCCTGCCCCGCGCCGGCTCCCGTTCCCGCCCCCGGTAACGGCAACGGCGCTGGCAACGGCACTGGCAACGGCACTGGCAATGGCAACGGCAACGGCGCGGGTGCCGGAACTGGCCGTGGCAACGCAGGCAATGCTGGAAACGCCGCCACGCCCCCCGGTGCTCCCACTCCCATCCTCGAGCCCAGGCCCAATGCGGGTGCCGGCGCGGGAGCTGGAGCTGGAGCTGGTGCTGGCGCTGGTGCTGGCGCTGGCCGCGGCGCTGGCGCGACCAACGGCACGGCGACGAACAACGGAGGCAGGGCCAAGCGTGATCTATCCGTTCACGCGAGGGCCATGCCCATCGCGCTCGCTCTGGAGGCTTGAGCAAAACAACTCGTACATGGTGATATGCAAGATGTCGTATTTTGGGAGGGACCTCTGTGGCCCGGCTGGGATCGGAGCTTGGAGTTGTTTCTTTGATGGGTCTTTTTGGAGGGGGGGCGGCTAAGGGGGTTCAAAGTAGACCAGGTAGCGTGGCAGCTGTGCTGTCGCGGTAAATGATGATTGATTTTGATTGCATGAGACTGGAACTCGAAGAGACTGGATCACGCCAGTCCTGGTTGGGTGATGGTGTAGTCATGGCTGCGACAGAGCCTTGTCGGAGAATGTTGGGACGAGACTGAATGGTGATGGAGGAGAGGGACGGAGCAAATGGTGGTGGATGAGCAGGTGCTGGAGCCTGGGCAGATAGAGGGGGAAGGAGAGAGTGGAGGGGGACCTTGGTGGATTGAGAGATACCTCTGTGACTAACCCATCTTCATGGCAGTCTCGCTCAGGATGTGCCTTCCCCGGATGCATCAAGAGCCAAGGGCGGGGAACAAAGTTGGAAGAGCAAAGTTAGAAGAACAAAATTAGAAGAACCCTCTTCTTCATGGCATCGTCTCTCTACTGCCATCTCTTGATCGATCTCCTCTCGGAAAGTCGACCCCCCCACCCACAAACCCATGTCCCTCTCAACGCCGTCCACGTCCGTCGCAGATACACCAGATCACCGCACACTGCTGCATGCCTCGTGCGCGCCGGACCACTCACAGGCCTCCCACGCCCTTTTCGGTCAGCCCAGTAGCAGCATCCACGCCTCACTCGTGGGCTGTCCCGTGGTCGTCTTTGGTATAAACGCGACGCCTTCGCATTCGCCCGCGCGCGCAGCGCCTCTTCCTGTCCCGCAATGTCAAGACAGATGGCCAACGAAATCAAGCTCCTCAGTGGTAGCAGCCACCCCGACCTGAGCGCTCATGTCGCAAGCCGGTGAGTTGCTCCAAGCTCTTTTCGCCCGTTCTGTGCTCCAGACACGGACGGACACGGGCACAGGCAGTCTCCGCCGTGGAAACCGCAAGCGCCTTGAGCTCACAAAAACTGCCAGACTCGGCATCGAAATTGCACGTACCGTTTCCCAGAACTTTTCCAACCAGGAAACCTCGGTGACGATTGGCGAGTCGATCCGCGATGAGGACGTCTACATCCTCCAGTCGACCGCCACGGGCGACGTCAACGAAGGCCTCATGGAAATGCTCATCATGATCCACGCCTGCAGGACAGCCAGCGCCCGCCGCATCACCGCCGTCATTCCCTGCTACCCGTACGCCAGGCAGGACAAGAAGGACCGCTCACGAGCCCCCATCTCGGCCCGCCTCATTGCCAACATGCTGCAGACGGCCGGCGCCAACCACATCATCACCATGGACCTGCACGCCTCCCAGATCCAGGGCTTCTTTTCGGTGCCGTGCGACAATCTCTACGCCGAGCCGTCAGTGCTGCGATGGATCCGTGAAAACCGCAACCTCGACGACGTGGTCATTGTGTCACCAGACGCTGGAGGCGCCAAGCGTGCCACGTCCATCGCCGACAGGCTCAAGGTCAGCTTCGCACTCATCCACAAGGAGCGCCCACGCCCCAACGTCGTCAGCAGAATGGTCCTCATCGGCGAGGTCGCTGACAAGGTTGCCATTCTCGTCGATGACATGGCCGACACGTGTGGCACCCTCGACAAGGCCGCGAGTATCATTCGGGAGCACAAGGCCAAGGAGGTTAGTACTCTCCCAACATGAACAGGCAGGGAGCACAATAAGCTGACCACGCACGACCCAGGTCCTCGCCATTGCTACACGTAAGCCCTCCGAACCCCACGCGCATGATCGCCCGGGGGGACCATGCCGTCCCCGCCTCTTGCCCCTTTGAATGCCCCTCCTCGTCCCCGCTGACCCACAACAGATGGTATCCTCTCTGGCAGGGCCATCGACACCATCAACAACAGCTGCCTCTCACGCCTCGTCGTCACCAACACGGTGCCCCTAGGTGACAAGGTCGAGCGCTGCCCCAAGCTGCAGGTCATTGATATCAGCGGCACCCTCGCTGAGGCCATCAGACGGTGGGTTCCCGGCATACACGCGCCCCGTGCCCTCTGCCCCTCTGCTAACAGGATCAGTACCCACAACGGCGAGTCTGTCTCGTACCTCTTCACGCATGTCCCCGTGTAAAGCCGCACCGATCAGTGCATCTTGTTTTTAGATACTGCCCAGGGGTCAGCGCATCATGATCTGGGGATTGCGTGCATTGGATGAAAAGACTCGGGAAAGGTAGCACGCTAGAGGCAAGCGGTCACGGTACGAACTGTCAAGTTGAACAATTTCGGTGATTGGCAAGAATCTTCATTTGGATCTCGACCCAGCATCGGCGAAGCCCACGAAACGGCGCCCCGTTTGTCTGTTCCGGTTTTTAGAGGGGCAAGGGGAGCCTGGATATCAATACAATTCTTTTCTCGTCCACAGAACGCCTCTGCCCCCACCGTTTGTTTGTACTGGTACACTTTGCTTCTGTCTATCCGGACACCGCAACCCTTGCTCCCGCTCGAAATGCATCGCATCACTAGTATAATACACCAAAACAAAAATTAAACAGAAAACGAAAAAAAAGTTCAAGGTAAGTAGCCGTTGCGGGGATAAGACTGGTCTCTCCTTCATCGCTCGAGCCTCATCATCGCTTGCGCATGTCTTTACCCTTCTTTTTCTTGCCCTTCTTCTTATCCTTCGGCAGCTCGAGCACCGTCCCCTTGAGCTGCTCGCCCATGACGCGCAGCATATAATCGTCAATGGTGCGCATGCGCTCGCCCCACGCGTTCGTCTCCACCTCGACCGGCTTGCCAGACGCATCAGGCGCCGCCGACTCGGAGAACCGTCCGAGACCCGAGGGGCCGGGACCAGCGGCCCCCGCATCCGCGGACGGGTCGTCGCGGGGCGTGCCCTGCCGCGTGCTTGACGCGCCCGAGTTGATGCCGCTCGTCCTCTCCTGGAAGTCGGCGTCGTCGGCCTGAATCTCCTTCTCAGCTGCCTTGGCAGCGGCGACGTCCTCCTTGTCTTCAGCAAGCTCGAGCACCTCGCCTACGTTGCGCGACTCGCTGCCGTTGGCGCCGCCGCCGAGGAGACGGTCCATGGCCGCGTTGGCGGCGGCGTTGCCGTCGTTGACAAGCTCGGCGTCCTCGCCGACGGCGTCGCGCACTGTCATCTTCTCGCGGAAGTAGTCTGTCGTGAATTCGCCCTCCTGGATGACGACGTCGTCGAGCATTTGCTTCTGCGACGCCTTGCGTAGAATGTTGGCTTCGATCGTGTGCTCACTGACGAGCCGGTAAATGTGCACGTCGCGTGTTTGGCCGATACGGTGACATCTGTCCTGACACTGCTTGTCCATGGCGGGGTTCCAGTCTTGGTCATAGAAAATGACCGTGTCGGCGCCGGTCAGGTTAATGCCCAGGCCACCTGACCGGGTGGAGAGGATGAAACAGAGGATGCGCGGGTCGTTGTTGAACCTGTCCGTGAGGATCTGTCGCTGCTCGACCTTGGTCGCACCATCGAGTCGCAGGTACTTGTGGCCGTGGATGTTGAGGAACTGCTCAAGAATGTTGAGAACCTTGGTCATCTGCGTGAAGATCAACGCACGATGGCCGCCAGCCTGAAGCTTGCGAAGCAGCTTGTCGAGTGCCTGAAGTTTGCCACAATCGTACTGAAGGAGACGTTTGTCGGGGAACTGAATACTCAACCGCATCCTAGCCTCGTGCCACGGGTCGTGCGGCGCCTGCTTCTGCATGAACGGCGCCCAGCGCACTGGTGCGGAGAGACTGAGGTCAGCCTCAGTGAACGCGTCGATGGCTCGCTTGCCAAGGACGATTTCAGTCATGTCTCGCGTGATGACCGATGGCGTCACGCACGCAAACTTTTGGATTATCGTTTCCATGGACGCTGCCCTGTCGTCCATGCTGTGGATTGTCGCGCGCAGGAATCCTGAGTCCTCAGCAAACCAGTTGAGGATGTTCTTCGCAACCCTGGGCCGGGGCTTACGAGGCCGCTGCTGCAGGTCCAAGGTCAGGAACTGGACTAATCGCTTGCCATAAATCGGACGGCGTTGTCCACGGAGGGCATTGAGGTACACGCAATGTTGCAGCTCTTCAAAACGTCGCCATCTACCGAGGCTTTCAAGATAGACCAGATTCGACTCAGCGGTTGAAGGATCGAGGTTGGTGCGAGCCATGTGCGCGCGCGCATTTTGGGCTTCTCGGAGGTCCAGCAGTACTCGATGCAAGCTCAACTGAGAGATGCGCTCTGCATCGGTGCTGGAAAGCCCTTCATGTTGCGTGGGGATCAGATTGACCACGCCGAGACCGACGAGCTTCATGGCATCTTGCGCCAGGATTGTCCGCCGTAGAAACTCGTTCGTGTCGTTGTAGTCGGCAGCAACGCTCTTTTGCATTCGGAAGGAGGTCATGATGGGCCGATCGACGAAAAGATCAGGATGATTGCACACTTTCCGCAACTGCATGAGACAATTAATGATGGACATGTAGTTGCCAGATGCCAGGGTGTCACGGGTATCAGCCCGAGCCAAGAAGCCGTCATAGAGTTCCCTCTGCCGCTTTGACAAGCGGCAGAATTCGACATGTTCGTACTTGGCGGGCATCTGCTTCTCAACATCGGCCTTGAGTCGCCGAAGCAGGTACGGTCTCAGAACCTTGTGCAACTTGGAAATGATCGCCCGCGCTTCTTCGTCCATGGTTTCGCGGCCGCTCTCGAGGATCTGAGACTCTGGCTTATGGAACCAATCATGGAACTCCTGCAAATCGGCAAAACCACCAACACCGTTCTCCGACGGCATGAGGAAGAAGAGCAGCGACCACAACTCGGTCAGGTTGTTCTGCAGCGGCGTGCCTGTGAGCAGCAGTCGAGCCCGCGTGTTGAAGCCAAGCAGTGTCTGCCATCGCTGGGATTTGAAGTTCTTGATGTTGTGCGCCTCGTCAAGGATGAGGTAGTGCCACTTTCGGCGCTTGAAGACCTGCTGATCTTGAAGGACGAGCTGGTAAGAAGTAATGCAGACGTTCCACACATCGTCGTTGTTCCATCCGTGGCGCTTCCGCTTCCGCTCCTCCTGTGTGCCATAGTAGGACAGGATCTTGAAGCCAGGTAAGAACTTCTTGAACTCCATCTCCCAATTGAGCATTACGCTCGTCGGTACCACAACTAAGTGAGGACCCCACACTTCATGATGACACGCGAGATGGGCCAGCAGCGCGATTGTCTGGATCGTCTTGCCCAGGCCCATCTCGTCCGCGAGGATACCATTGGTGTTGTTGGCATAAAGGCCTGCCAACCAGTCCAAGCCAAAATGTTGGTACTCTCGAAGAGTGCCGCGAAGGAGGAAGGGGACTTCGGTCTTTGCAGCCGATGCTGGACTGGGTGACACAGACCTACTCGTGTCGTCCTTAGGTGCCGGGATTAGTGCTGTCGAGTCGGCGTCTGATGGCTTCGAGTCGGGTGTGGGTGACGAAGTGGGCTTTCCGACCTCTGGCGGCGCCATCATCGTATCTGCGCCAGAACTTGTAGGTTTAACTGGTGTAGACTGCGGAGATGTAACGGCAAATTCTGGGAGAGATTCCAGAGGCACCGGGGCATCGGCCATGTCAACGTCTTGGGATGTAGCGATTGTCGCATCCGGTGTAGCCTCGAGACTGTGTGCAATGCCGTTGGTCACAGGCTCGTCGACTATGCCAGTCTCAACAAGGCCGTTCGTATTTGGTCGCTCGCCATCGCCCACATCAGGAGTATCGTCACCTGTGACTGGGTCTGACGGTGGGATTGTGACCAGCTCAGGTTCATCGTCATCCTCGTCTTCCATGTCGTCGTGCAAGGCCAATGAAACATCATGCTTCTTCCCGGAGTCCCATGCAGGCAGTGGCAGGTCCCGTGCCTTGGATGGTGTTTCGAGCGCTTTCTTCTTGTCATCCTGCTCAGACGGCGGCTCTGATCGATCTTCCGTCTCGCCTTTCGGGGTTTCTTGCATCTGTTGCAGCTCTTTCTTGTCGAAAAAGAGCCCTAGAAGGTTCGCAGGTTCCCCTTCATCGGACTCCCGTTCAGAACCCGACCCAGTCTCCATGTCATCGTCATCGTCCTCGTCGCTGCCTTCATCACTAGAACCCATGTCGTCGTCCATGTCGATTGATTCATCAGTCGAGTCACTCCCTTCGTCTCCACCTGTGGTCGCGCCGGGGCTTGTCCTTATCCCATTGGCTGTTTTTTCCTCGTCTTCTTTGACCAGGTCGGGAATATTCGAGTACTTCGCCCGGAGTTGATCTTGCGTGAGGGTTTCGTCTGCAGCATCCACCAGAGAGTCGTTCGCCGGCTCATCGTCTTCGTCAGATGAAGACATGACGTCATCGTCGCCCGAGTCGTCGTCGTCGGCATCCATCGACGATGCGTTGTCATGTCCCAGGGCGTTTTCGTCGTCAGTAGCAGCCAAGTCGTCCTCCGAGTCCTCCTCGTCGATGTCCTCGTCGTCTTCGTCGTCCTCGTCGTCGTCGCTACCGATCTGGCCGCGCTGGGCCTGTAGCTTCTGCTCGGACAGGTTGACTGCCTCGTTCAGAGCAGCCTTGACACGCCGCTGCTCTTCCACCTCCCATTCTTGCAGCCTCCTCCTGTTGATCTCAGCTCGCACGTTCTCCCACGTCCCGTGCATGACCTTGGCCACGATACGGTACCGCGTGATCCAATAGTCTCTCGCCTCAGCCTCGAGCACTTCTGCGGATTTGGGTTGCCGGCGTAGCCATGCGTCTCGACAGGCCTCGGCCAGCCTTTTCGCTTGTGTTTTGTGCCGCTGTCGTTCCGCCAACATGAGCTTCCGAAAGTTGGTTGCTGCCTTGACCATGTGATCCTGGTGCGCCCATTGACGAGGTGGCTCTTCTTCGGGTTCTGGAACAAAAGCGGTACAACGCCCTTCGGACAAGATGCCTCCTGGTTCCACAGCATTTTCGATTCGCAATATTGTCCGCGCATCCTCCTCGGCCATGGTATCCGTGTATTGCTCCTCGGCGGCGAGGTAGCCGCCATCTTGGAGAGGTATTTGCGTGGCCTTGGCCCAATATTCTTCAAAGCTCGGTCCGATCTTGGGTCTCTTGCTCATTTGCCCAGGGTGGACAAGTGGGATCGTGCCTCGCGGTCGATACTTGGTGGAACGTAGCGACTCCTGGATCGGAGACGAGGCATCTTCGTCGACGGAGCCACGCGTAGGTCTTCGCGTGCGCGTCGAGTGCCGAGTGGGATGGGAGGACGGAGAGGGTGTTCGTTTTCGGGAGATTCGAGAGGAGGAGATTCGGTTTGGGGGTCTACCAGGCTGCGCAGAGACCTTGGATGAAGTGGTCCTGCCGCTGGCATTCTTGGGCGTGCCCCTGGCCGCGGCCGCCTGCTTCTGCTTGGTAGTCGCATGTCCGTTTGTCGTGGCTTGTGTCTTCTTAATCACTGGGCTCGCACGCGGCTGTCTGGATTTGCGGGACGTCGGAGGAGATTGGGAATCTAGGAGAGCAAGGTTGATGCGGCCAGATTTGCGCCTGCCGTTCTCCGTGAAGGAGGTTGGGCCCTCGGCACCGGCCTTTTTCCATGGCGGAGACTCGAGTTTTTTGCCGTTGATGCGGGCAGCGGACGGCGGCGGCGTAGACTCGTGGAGGCGTCGTCTCTTGGATGGAGGGCCATCGTCGGCATCGGCGTCGTCTTGTGTTGGTGATTCTGGTTGTGGGGCAAGGTCGAGGAAGCCGTTTGCTGCGGGCTCGAGGTCTGAGAGCTCGGAGAGTTCGGATGAGGATTCTCTCGTGATGGCAAAGTTGTTCGTGGCGGCTTCACTGATCGCCGACGCGTCTTGGTCGTCGCGTAGAGGCCCAGGGTCGGCCGAGTCTGCATGCGCGGTCTCGGGCGACGCGGTCCCGGTCATAGTAGCAACAGGGCGAAGGGGGGAAGGAGGGTCGTGATCTCGACGAACAGCGCATTTGGGGGGATAAAATTGCAGTCGGGAGATCCGCAGTGATTCATACAAGTCTGTTTCCGATTATGAGCATGCTCACGGTGTCTGGGCGCTGGCTATGACGGATTTTGATGGAATTCCAGGCGTCACCAGCAAAAAGTCTGAAGCTGGAGATTTTGAGTGACGAGACGGTTCTCTTTGGGGGGGTGCCACCCCTGTGCTGCCTTGAGCTGTGCTTGCCCAGGTTCCCTTACCTACCGTGCTCCTTAGGTACTTTAGGTAGGTACCTAGGTACCACCATAGGTGCCGCCACCAGGTGGCCGGTCTGCCACCTCAATGACAGCTGTGGCCACTGGCAGTGCCAGTACACGCGAGTCGCGACTGGTCTAACCCGGTATGGACACCAGAAGCAGGGAGGACGGCTTACCTACGCGAGGTCTCCAGGTGGTGGTGCCTCCCGGCCTTGTGGGGGCCTCGAACCAAAAGTCAGTGTCCGTCTACCTTGCATTTTCTTGCCTGAGGCATCTGGAACCCGTCGTGTGGGCCATTGGCATCCATCATTCGTCTGCATTTGAGCCTCACGACAGCAACGACAGTAGAATCAGTACAACAATTGGGTCACATCGAGACCACTAATTGGCCAAGGTGAGCTCCCAAAAACCCTTTCTCTCCTGCCGACTCAACTGACCAAGGCCGTTTCGCCCATTCCAGATGCTGTCTCGACGAATTGCGCGGGTCTCGACCATCCGCAGCACGGGTGCTGCTCTGGCAGCTCCCGCCCGCCGCCTTCCCACCATCCAGCAGCGAACCTTCTTCCCCGACGGCATCAACGACAAAAAGACCCTCGAGGCCAAGTACCCCGACTACCCTGCTCTCACCGAGGCGGAGGACCCCGGCATGGTTAGTTTCTGGTGGATGCGCGCAAGCAGAGCAGCGGCCGCCGGCTGTTGCTCAAGCAGACAGCGAGCACGCAAGACACAGAGGCGGGAGACTCGAGGCTAATGATTTTTGGGCTTGACAGAACGGCGGCTACGTCAACCCTCCCTTCATCAAGCGCCAGCACCGCGATCCCTACGGCAACTGGTGGGACAAGCAGGAGAGGCGCAACTTTGGCGAGCCCGTCCACGAGGACCACGATCTCCTCGGCATCTTCTCCCCCTACGAGTACACCTGGACCACCGCCGGCCCCGGCGCCCTCATGATCGGCACCTTTGTCGCGACCTTCCTCGTCGTCGTCGGTGCCATCTACGTCACCTACCCCGACAGGCCCACGTTCCCCAGGGAATTCGAGAACGGTCTGCAGAGGGAGCTTGGTGGCGCCAGCGCCCTGAGGGTATGACTGTCCCTTTGTTACTCCGTCGGGGTTGGGAAACCACTGCTAACACTGTACAGGCGAGGCAGGAGGGTGACGAGGATCCTTGAGCGTGAACGGGAAACCTGGAATCTGACATCACTGTGTACATAAGCGGGGGCAGTGGAAGACTAGAGCAGAGGAATCAGTACCTTTATCTTTCGGCAGTGTGTGTGCCCGCGGCCTTATGGTGTTCAAGCGTAACGTGGGCGCCCTGGATTGGCGAGAAACTCTGGCGTGTCGAGCCAGTGCCTATCGGCTGGCAATCATACACATCCTATAACGGAGGCTTTCAGCAGACGGCCACGTAACTGACTCTCTCCGCCAAACTTGCTCGACTCGCAGCTGATTTGCTTCTATCCTGTGCGGCCATTGTTTAACACTACCTACATGGTGAACAAAGCTACCTGGTAGAGCCTGCTCCTGTCCTATTCTCACAGTACTTGTCTCAGCGGCCAAGGTATTGACAGGTACAGTTTAACGGCTCTTTAAGCACCCAAACCCCCCTTGACGCTGGAACGGTGACACGGAGGGTTCAAGATGGCCTGCATCGGGTTCGTGGTGGAAACACCGTCGACACGGTTGCCTTTGAGTGGCTCTAGGTCAAGTCAGAACCCTCGGGTTCTGGCCACATCAAATTACGGACTATACAGAGACATTCATGGCATGGCCCCCAGTCGGCTAGCCTCTGCAAACATGTTCGGCGTCAGACGGAGTTGGTATTGGTAGAGAACAACACACACACTTGCAGTAGTCGACTGCACCGTACCCACGACTCAGTACATATCCTGTAGCTCACATGATGCCTCATGAAGGCAGGCAGGACCCCGTGTTCAAGACCCTCCTGGTTGTTCTCCGCTCATCATGTCCCGTATCCGGATGGTACACCACCCTGTGGTGAATGTAAGTATCCGAGGTAGTTGTGTCTACAACAACGCAGGCAGCGAGCAATCGGGATACCTTGTTGCAGCAACCGGCCCCAAAACGTCTCCTACCCGGCCAGTACAGAGAAATCAGTCATCGGAATGGAGAATTGAACCGATCCGTTTATTTTTCCTTGGACGTAGTCTACCACCGAAACCTGCACACTGTTGCATGTGGCAACATGATCATGGTAGAAGAAATATCACAGAGCAGCTTGAGGTATCAAGTTCAGGCTTCTGTCGCAAGACTAGTAGCGAGACTTGATTCTTACCGCGCAGTTCTGGGAAGCGCCTCAGGCAATGCGTTGCCGCTTTCGGGTGACGATTTCCCAGCAGGTACCTCAGGTAGGTAACTTGAGGCGATGGAAGAGTGTCGAACATTTGTCAGCTCTGCTCCGCTCGGGGTAAATCTCCAACCCGACAGCTCCGCATCACCCTTCTTTCGACGCGACCCATTGGCAATGCAGTGCTAATGCCGCAACAGGATCCTGATTGTGTGATCAAGCTGTGAAGTCTTGTCTTGTTAGTGGAGCCGGATTACGTTTGTTACTAAGGTATAGTGCAGATCGGGCAGGTTTCACTGCCGTCCCTGACGAACGATGAGGTTGTCGTCCGCAGATAAATAAGGGCCGATGAGCGTCTCTGAGGATAGTAATTACAAACAAGTTCTCAAAGCACCACTATATCACATCGCAACCCAACCCACCGCACACTACATGATCTTTGTCGTGGAACTACATCGCAGCTGAGAACCCTGTAAAGCAAAAGCACTGCGTCTCGCCTTAGACGCCATACCATCATGAAGGAGGCCATCGTCACCAGGGAAATCACAGTTCAGATCAAGGATGTTGAGCGTCCGAAGCCCGGACCTGGAGAGGTGCTGATCAAGGTCATCGTCGCAGGTTCGACCACCCCCTCTCGTCGCTTCAATGACGTCATGTTCATTTCCACTGACACAAGCTGCCTTTTCCAGGTACCAACCCCAAGGACTGGAAACTCCCCGTCTGGCTTGAGACGTGCGCCGACACCAACACGGGCGACGATGTCGCTGGCACGGTCGAGGAGCTCGGCGACAATGTCATTGGCTTCACAAAGGGCGACCGCGTCGCCGCCTTCCATGTCATGATGGCACCGCACGGTGCCTTTGCTGAGTACGCCATCGCTCCCGCCAACACTGTCTTCGCCCTGCCTGCTTCCGTTTCGTACGAGGAGGCCGCTACTCTGCCTTTGGCGGCCTACACTTCGGCTGTCGCCCTTTTCGACCAGCTTGAATTCCCCTCCCCGTGGGACGCCGAGGCCAGGCGGTCTGGCGAAGACAAGAAGAAGAGGCCTGTCATCATCTATGGTGCTTCGACAGCCATTGGCGCCTTCGCCATTAAGCTGGCGCAAAAGGCCAACATTCACCCCATCATCGCCGTTGGCAGCAAGAACAGCGAGTTTGTCGTGCCGTTCCTGAACTCCGCCAAGGGAGACCGTATCGTCGACTACACAGCGTACAAAACACCCGATGAGCTCGTCGCCGCATTGAAGGACGCTGCCAAGGCGGCAGGAGTCGAGGATGGACGCGTGTTTGACGCCTACGACTGCGTCTCGGAGAACGGGACGTACGTCACCCTGAGCAAGGCCCTCGCGGGCCCGCCCGATGCGAGCGGTCGGAAGCCTAGAATCACGCATGTCCTACCTGTTGATGAGACTGCGGCCGACTCGAGCGTCCAATTCACGCGTACGACGGTCGACCACGTACACAAGCAACCTTTGTTCGGCACCGTCTGGTCAGCCGCCTTTGCGAGTGGCCTGAGCGAAGGTTGGTTTACGCCTCACCCGTACGAGGTTGTGAAGGGTGGGCTTGCGGGACTAGAGGGCGCTCTGAAGGGTCTTAAGGACGGCTCAGTGAGGGCAAAAAAGATGGTGGTCCGTATTAGTGAGACTGAGGGGGTCACGCAGTAAGAGAGTAGTGGCTAAGTTATGTAGCATTTAACATTTCAGTTTCCAAGCCGATTTCGCTCCCGGCCTGTTGTACCAAATTCCTTTGACATACTGGAAGTCGTAGTCAAGAGCAATTTCTCCATTGAAGGATGTAGGTTTGTAGAAAGTAAGGTCTCTCAGTCGATAGCCTACCTCTTTCGGTCTCTGTACTCTCTACTCGGCGCTACGTAGTTGACTCACAGATCAAGACCGAGTAGGAATAGGTTACCACTATGAGAACTCTCTTAAAGGGTCTTGATCGGCTTGCGGCTTTTCAGGATAAGGCGGCGAGAGTGTGCGCCTTCCTTGCGTAGCATAGTTATTTGGGGAGTAAGTCATAACTATCATTTTGACGGAGATGAGCCCGTGTCATTGTTTTATGGCTTCGGATAGGTATGTTGTATTGCGAACCTTTTAACTACTCTCGTGACAGTAGCTTACTTGATGTCAGTGCGCTTATTGACGGTCTTCACCCTTAGCATCCTCAAGCTTCACTGAGCCGTTCTTCACCGAGTGGAAGACAATCTGCCCGCTCTCACCGTCCAAGTAGTTGATTTCGATGGCCTAGTTGAGCCTTACACCGGTGGCAGCCCGATAACCGAACCACAGGACGTCTAACTCACCGAGCAAATGCTCTCCATGTCGGAATCATTACTAGGATACCAGACTGACCTCGCGTCGCAGTTTGGCTACGACCCGCTGAAGGTTCGGGCGTCAGTGTACAAATGGAACTCTTGGGCCGCTATCGTCATCAATCCGAATGCCACCGCACTTCTGCAGCAGGCCGTCGAGACTGGAAATACTTCCTACGACCCGACCGGTGTCGTGCAGATCATTTATCAGACCGTAAGAGATTCAACGACCGTCTCATCATACCTCTTCCCTACCTACGTTGCAGCAGTTTGCAAGCCAGTTCATAGCTCAGTTTGGCCCACGCTGGTGGGCCATGGTCATGTCCAATTCATCTCTCATACGGGATAACTTGGGCTTCGGCGGCGGCGGCAGTCAATCCGGACATCTCGCCTCTGATGTACGACCTGCGACGTTTTCAGCCTGCTGTTGTGACGCCGGCAGTTAGCCGCTTTGGCTTATCTTCTGGGTCATGACCAATGTCAGCACATTGTCCTACTCGATGGATCTCGCACCTGGGTCCTACCACTGGGGTCGCGCGTAGCCGCTGCAGCAGGTCGTCGAGGCGAGTCGCCACATTTTGCTTGATCTGCATTCCAGCATAGGCATCAACTTTGTTATTCTCTTTGCGTGGGCAGCCGTCAGCACGGCGCTGTTTCCATGCTGCTGTTATTTCTTGCGGTGGAGTACCGAGCCTGCGAAGCGTAAGGCGGAGATGGAAAAGGATCGATACGTGATGCACGACGGGGGACAGGTGACGGAGACTGCCAAGGTGACAGGCGTGAAGCCTCCTATTCGTAAAAGAGGGTTTATGAGAGGGGTGTGACGGGTCGGATCAATAAATTCGAGAAATTGAAAACCTGCGAGAAATACAGTACAATAATTCATCATCCCATCATTTGTCTCCATATTGGTAGATGCCCTCCTCAAGCCCCTTGATCTGTAGAGCTAGCAGCTTGGAGAAGAACCGACAGAGAGCCAGGTTGCCGCCGTGGAACCAAAACCCAGGATGTCCACTCTTGGTCCAGATGATGCGCTGCTCCCCTTCTTCGTTATACCCCCAGATACCCCCGACCTGGTCCGCAACTTGGTCGCCAAAAATAGCCCTCGTCTCAGTGCGCATGTTCTGGTAGCCCGTGGCAAAGACTATCTCATCGGCCTCAAGTTCCGATCCATCAGCAAACCGCAGTCCCCACGGCAGCACCTCGGTGATCTCTTGGCCTTGTTTGATCTTGATACGGCCCTCTGCGATGAGCCGCGAGGCGCCGACGTCAATGTAGTAGCCACCGCCACGCTGAAAGTATTTCATGAGAAGACCTGAGTCATCAGGCCCTCGGTCGACCTTGAACCCGGCACGCTCAAGTCCGTCAATGATATCTCGATCCATGGCGTTCTGCTTGGCCGTGACCAAGACCTGGTCCGCCTTGAGCACGGACGCCGGAAAACTGTGCAGCAGCAAGTCGGCCTCTTCGACCGGCGGCGAAGTTTCGGAATACAGACCGCCGAGAGCAATCTCGGTGATGCCCTCGGACGAGATGACGCACGTCGTCGACCGCTGCACCATGATGACGTCGTAGCCGTGCTCGACAAAGTCCTGTGCAATGTCGTGGCCCGAGTTGCAAGAGCCGACGACAATAGCGCACGTTCCGGGAGCAACGGAGGCGCGGGCGCCGGGAAACTCGGACGAGTGGCACAGGAGATGGCCCTCAAATGACGGAGCGCCACGAACAGCAGGCAGGTTCTTCTTGCCCGAGTGGCCTGTCGCCTGGATGACGTGCCGTGGGTGTAGGGTCCGTGTCTGTGTCGTGCCGTCGTCAAGAGTGCGGCGAACAGTGATGTCCCAGACGCGCGTATCTTCGTGCCATTGTGTGTCCGTTATGGTCGTCTTCATCCAAGCGTTGAGTTCCAGCAATCTGGCGTACGACTCGAAGAACTCGGCAAGCTTGTCCTTGGGCGTAAAGACGGGCCACTGTGGGGGGAACTTGATATAGGGAAGGTGGTCGTACCACACGGGGTCGTGGAGTACGAGCTGATGGTATCGCTTGCGCCAGTTGTCACCTATGCGGTCGTTCTGGTCGACCATGAGCGATGTGACGCCCAAAGCCTTGAGGCGGGCCGAAATGGTGAGGCCCGCTTGGCCGGCGCCTACTGTCTGTTAGTCACTGGGCCTGCGTTCTGTTATTTATGCTTATTTCTCTCACCAAGAATGAGGACAGACGGCTCAATGTCCGGCTCAAGCTCAGCCTCTGCCTGCCGTCTCTCTACCCAATTCTTGCGGCCGGGTTTGCCTCCGTGCTCAACACCTTGGCCGCGTCGTGAATTGACAGCCTCCTCGTGTCCCTTTATCTCCTGTAATACAGTGTAGAAGGTGAAGACTTTCCATTTGTCATCGTGATGGATGAGGCGAGCAACACCGTCGCCGGAGCCAACAGTCGTCTGCAGTGTAAAGAAGAAGGTGAGGCACGGCACGTTGGCATCGTGGTCGAGGAACGACATTCGCGGCTTTCGCACATCAGATGTCTTATCGAGACTGATGCTCTTTAGACGAAATCCATCCTTACTGCCGGCGCAGTCCTTCAGGAACTCTTGGATGCCAGAAGTACCTCTGTGCGTCTGGAAGCTCCAGGAGAGGGCGAGATGGTCGCGCCAGAAGCCCTCGTGATCGAAAAGGTCAACGACGGCAGCAAGATTGCCCTCATCGATTGCCGTGTTGAACTGATCTACCACGTCGGTAGCGACTTGCTCTGGTTTCACGTCTGTCGTTGGCGCAGGGTGGGGAAACTTGGCGACGGGAACGTTGACCGACCCGGGAACAGTCCGCATGTGCGACGGGGGTGCCGGTACGTCGTCCATTATGGGCAGTTGTTGTGAAGCTTCTAGACAACTGCAAATGGTATCGCTACTTGATATTTCATCTTCCAGCAAACGCGCCTTCAAATGAGGGGTTCGTTCGCTGGGAGTGATAGACGACGTCACGCACCTATGCCGAGCCACTTCATGCACGTTGCACAGTAGCAGGCTACCGCTGGGCGGCTGTCGGCCTCTTAGTGAATAGGTGCACGAGACGTTTGTATCAACCATAGCGTTCGAGTCGTGTCATGGCTAGGCCCTGCATAGGCCACCCGGAACAGGCCGGTCATGACGATCACCAACGACAGATGCATGCGAGCGCGGCCTTCCCCCGCATATTGACCCCGCGATTGTTAGACGTACCCGCTCCGGGGAAGAAGACTTGACATTTATTCCCCCAGACTCACGAGCCGCCATGGTACGATGAGTCTGGGTCGAAATGGAACGGGTGGCCATGAGGCATATTTGATTCACATTGAAGCTTCAGAAGGTAAAGTGGTGATACGCCTGCGTATACGCTCAGCTCACAACGCCGTATCGCACGAGACCCATGATCGCACCCAGAAGGATAGCAAACGGCGCCGCAACGCCAAAGTATCTTCCGCCGACAAACGCCGTTGCCGTCACAACAACCCACCATGGATCGTCCCCGAGGCTCCTCCCCGACTGGAATCCCTCATCGATGTATCCGACTAGATAGATCCGATAGACGGCGGTGTAGATGAGACCGACGGCCGCCGCATTGATCCCTCTGACCACTGCCTTGACCCAGGGTCGACTCCGGAGCACACCCCATACACCCATGGTTCCGTGCACGAGAACCATGCCCGGCGTGAAGATGCCGACAAAGGCGATGAGGGCCCCCACAGCTGCCGAGTGGCCGGCGTTGGCCGCGGTGAGACCGCCGAGGAAGACGGCAAAGTTGAAGTTGGGACCGGGAAACGACTGGGCGATGGCAAGACCGATAAGGAAGTCGCGAGGACTAACCCAGCCCTCGGCCACGATGTATTCGCGAAGCAGGGGGATGACGACAGGACCGCCGCCGAAGATGATTGTGCCGGCAAGGTAGAGATTAGCAAAGAGATTGTAGAGAATGGGCCGCTCGGTGACCACACCGCGAATGACCATGACGACGAGGAATGTTGCGAAGAAGGTTGCAATCACAGCCGTGCCCGCCTTCCAGGAGAAGTTGAGGCGGTATTCCTGCGCAACGACACGGGGTTCCTCGGACTCTGCTGTGGACCGAGCATCTGCCTCCGAAGAAGATCCCTGGCCTGTCTGTGAAGGGCCAGCTCGGGAATGTAGCGAAGGGGATGATTGGCCGTCAACAGCGGCCGGCTCCTTCACAGAGCCGGACGGCCGGGGCAGCCGCCGCAGCTCGGTCCCAGCATCGCCGTTCTCCTGAGCTTGAGGGCCTGCGGGTTCCTTCTTTCGTCCGAAACAGGCTTCCAGCGTGTGCTTGACCTTCCTCACGGGCCGGTGCAACCATCGGTAGTCGTGGATGATGGCCGCACAGCCAGCAGCGGCCATGAGTGTGGGGAAGTACCACAGGGCGTTGTACATCATGCCCGCCGAGGCGCTGAGGAAGACGAGGATGCGCGTCAGCGGGTCGGTGATGGCCTTTTGTGACAGCTCGACGGCGGCCAGGGCAATAATGCCCACCGTGGCAGCGTTGAGACCAGACAGCAGGGCGTAGACGGCACGCGGCAGAGTGTCACCGATGCTGGCGACACCAACGGAGAGGCCGTACATGCCCAGTGCGCCCGGCAGACTCCAGAGGACAAACGCGACAACCGCACCGAAAAGGCCGTTCTGCAAGAGATTAATACAGTAGAGCATCTTGGTGCTGGCCGGTCCTGAGAGCGCCTGGGAGACGCTGAAGAGCTCCTGGTACTGATGTCGAGTTAGTTTGAGCCATTGGCAATCGGTGAGATGAAGAGGCGCACCATTTGCTCGTCAATCCATTTCAGCCGCTTGACAAACTTGTCATGAAACTGTGTCTGTTAGCATCTAAGAAGGCATTGCTCCAGAGCGAGTGCCATACTATCTTAAAGTGCACAGGAGGACCACCAAAGGCAGTCAGGCCCAGATGCCAATTGACCTTGAACGTGGCCGCGGCGCGCTGGCCGGCGATCTCGAGGGTTCGATCCCAATTCCACGAAGTGCGATGCATATTTGGCTCTGAGTCAACAAGTGTCTGAAGACGCAACGTGGATGGGAGACACGGCCATGAGGACGATCTTTGCAAAGTGTCTGGGGTTCGCAGGCGATCTGGGCTAGTCACGAGAAATGGCGTGCGCACGGCGTGGGGTCTTGGCGCTGGCGGATAGTGCGCCAGACAACCCGTCACCTATTGCAAACAAAACGATATCAGGCTTCACAGAGTGGATGCTGGGATCTACGGTGCCGAAGGGCGAGAAGACCTCGTTTGGTCATTTGGTTGTCTGCCATAGCATGGTTACATGACCGCTGATATAGATGAATCCGGCCTATCAGATACATTCCATGGCCAGTCTTCAGACAACTATCCGACCCTCAAGCACCCTGCGTTCGCTCTCTACGACAAGTGGTCCGCCGCCGGGCCCACTGGAGTCCAAGCTGAGTGTGACCTTCTCCCGATCGGCAATGACCCTGACCGTCTCGCCCAGATTCCGATAATCCGTCTCGCAGTGTCCCTGCGTCGGCGGCAGCCCGTCCTCCTCCGCTTTGGCCTCCCTCATGTCAACGCTCGGATACGGCAGCCAGCCCTCGCGGAGGGGCACCATGATCAACGGGATGTTTACGACCGATTGATCCGGCGTAGAGCTATCAGTGCCGAGTGCTGGGACCTTGACGCGGCCCCGCTTGCGACCGCCGAGCAGCCACGTGTCGGGTGGCGCCGTGACATCGTATGTGAACTCTTGCGGCGTCGTAGAACTGTCCGTGACGCCTGGCGAAGTATCCCATCTGCGTGTCCACTTGAGCGTCAGGTTGGCTGACAGAAGCTGGTTGATGCCCGTGATGGGGGTGCCCGCGTCTTTGCGAGGGACTGGCGACGGGAGCGATTTGTCAAGCTGGATGTCGATTGTGAAGAGAATTGGGATGGACGGAACATCTACGGGAATAAGGATCGACTGAGCGTCTTCGATAGTCTCGGATGACTTCAGAGCGAGCTTTGGGTTCTTCTGCTGCCAGTCCTGGATAAAGCTGGCGATCGCTCTCGCTGCATCCTTGTCGCTGCCCGGTAGCTTTCCCAAGCCCCTGAACGAATCATCTACAGCCGGCTTTGTCAGGAACGAGGTAGAGATTTCGCCAAGCAGTCCTGCGCGCTCGAGGTCAAACAGCGAAAGCGCACCGGGCACCTGCTTCTGAAGTTGTGCCTCCACCAGCGTCGCATAGCGCGCAAGGTCAGATTTAAGAATGTCTTGCTTCACGAGCCTGCTGACTGTTGCAACGATCTGTTCAAGCACGACGCTGTAAAAGACCTTCAGATATAATGTCTTTTTCGTCTTTGGCTGTACCGCAACATCCTTTTTGCGTGTAATTTTGTAGAGAAGGCTTGCTGGCTGCTTGGGGAAGACGACCACGGGCTTGCTGGGTGCGACTCCAAAATGTGATTCGAATATGTCGGATTGCTGCAGTTCGCTCTTGTACACGGTGATCGGGCTCGGTGACGCAGTGGAGACGCTGAACCGAGAGAAGACTGCATTGTGTTTGAAGACATCTTGGACGTTGACGCCGAGGGCCAACGAGATGGGAATAGTGGGTATCGCAGAGAAGGTGTATGTACCCTTCTCAGCTGAATAGATGACGTCGACTTTGACAGAGATATTGGCAACGTCCTGCTCAGTGGAAAATGGAAATCGAAGCTGCACACTTGTATTGGGATCGAGCGCACTGAATCGGAACAATCCTGGCTCGAGCGCACTTGCGAATTCGAATGAAGGTCCGATGAATTTGGCCTCTGTAGACAAAAGACGAAGTCCACCAGTGCTGGGCCTCACTCGTATCTCGCAAGACGTGACGTTATTCCAACCAGTACGAAGCTTCAGATCGAGACAGTTGTTACGGTCTAGCTGTGTGTGGCGCGCTGCAGTAAGTTGGCAGTCCAAACCGCCTTCTTGGCGACACACTGTGACCTTCGGAAGAAGGAAGGCCTCAGCTCCTTTCGAGGAGTCGTGATCAATGTCGCGTTCGTAGTGGAGATGAATATTACTGGAGGTCAGACTCAGGCGATCAACGTCATAACGTCCGGACAGGCTTGTCTTGAAGCCATGGTTAGCCATTATGCGAGGTCGAGAGAGGATAAACACGTACTTTGCTTTGCAGGCGAATGGCGCTCTCGCCTGGCTTGAGCACTTGAGGAGTTGTGCTCTCCAACCACAACTCTTTTGGAACACCGGGGTCAGAACTTGTAAGACGCATGCGCGCAGTCTCGATCGTTAAGTCATCCACCAGTAAGCTACTCAATTTGATCGTCAAAGAGAAGCTGTCGAGCCCGACGTCATACTCGGGGGACTCGTCTAACTGAGGATTAGTGAACATCTGTCCCAGAGGGACTGGAACCTCGTTGGAAAATGTCTTGGTCACAGCCAGTAGTTTGCCGACAAAACCCCGAATGACAGCGAAAGAGGCATGCTCCACGTCTTGTCCGGCGCCAGGTCGGAACCCCTTTCGGCGCGCGAGGCGGTCTTTCTCAGCGGCAGCAGCTTTTGTCAGCAGCTTCAGTACCACACGAACGTATTCGTCCTTGCGTTGTAGCTCATGTAGACAGTGCGCGTACATGATGAGCATGGACAGCTCCAACACACTCCAGCCAGTTTCCCCGTAGAACGGCGTCACTCGATAGAAGTAAGAAGCCGCCGCTGAGTAGTCTCCGAGGTGGTATTTAAGAATCGCAAGATCAGTCATGCTGGCTTGAACGGCATAATTATGGTCGGCAACGGTGTAATGCCTTAAGGCCTTGTCCGTTAGGGTCTCGTAGAGACGGTAGAAGTCGTCTTGGTTATCGAGCGCTGCCTGAAGAAGGCGGCCCTCAATACCAGACAGCAGAGGCTGCTGAGGGACCTCGGCCTCTGCCTTCTTCGCCAGGGGTTCATTGTCGTCAAGACTAACGTCCTCCATCGTCTCATAGCCAGAGTCTTCGACGTCGGGCACAGAAGCCCAGCCATCACCCCAGCCGCGCTTCTTGCCGCACTCTTCCAACACATTACGAGAGAGATTATAGAGCTCGGCACGCCTGGCAGCGAGGTCTTCGAGGCCATTCTTGAGAAACTGGCTAGTCGGCGCGACAGACATGCCCTCGGGAACACTGGCTCTTTGGCCGGCTCCCGGACCAGGGAATATTCCTGGGCTGTGGGGAGCTGCCGTAGTGGTTCGCACACTTAAAGACGTTGTTCGGGCGGGGTGCATCATGGTCTTGGGCTCGGGGATGGAAACCTTGGGCTCATGAATTTCGGGAGTGATCAATAGGGATGGCGGAATGGGGAGGGACTTGGTTGACGTCTGCGCCAGGATTTGCTGAGCAACCGAGAATGCGAAGGATGCGACAAGATTGTCAATGACCTCTGTTACCACAGGGCTTACTGAGTGATCAGCTGAGTCGCCACCAGGCTGTGAAACAGCTGACATGATGTCTGCTCGCATGATCTGTGATATGGCGGGGATGAACTGTAGGGTCCTTCGACAAATCTCGGCCAACATGGTGAGGTTCTCTGCATCCTCTGCTTGTTTTGGTGCAGGCGCCTGTGGTGCAACGCCATGCAACACTGATTCTTGCTGTTCCTTGAGCTTCACCAGGAGTTCCTCTTTGGAGGACCATGCGTTGCCCGAGCGCAACAACAGGGCCAGCTGGCGGCCGAATATGTAGCAACGAAAGTCGAACACCGAGACGTTGTTGGCTACAATCATGTCGCGGTAAAGCTTCTTTGTGGAGCTGATGGGGATCTCGTCAAAGTGGCTGAAAGCAGGAAGCTCCTTGGACTGCAGGTCAACGGATTCTTCGTCTTCGAGATTCCCGCCGCCGGTCGCTGCCGCAACAGCCTGTTCAGCCTGCTTTTTCAACTCGGCAGTATACCCCAGAAGCGCACCGCCGTTTCGCTCCGCGTCTCCCGTGGCGACCTGTTCGTGTATAACCGAGTCAAGGCCAACACTGAGCTCGTCATAGCCAACGAGCGCATCCTCGATAAGCCCGACGCTCTCGAAGCCTCGCGCCAAGCCTTCCTTGAGGATGAAAAACGTGCAAAAGTTCCAACCTGGTAACAGACGTTGCGCATCTTTTTCACGAATGTCATCTTCGTACTGTGTAACGCGCATGTCGAACGACGCCAGGATCAAGCCCTTGATCTTCGCCAGCAACTCCTGCCAGGCAACCTCTGCGTCTTTCTCAGTCTCCGAGTATCCGGTTGGGGTGGCTGGTACGACGCGAGGCAGGATATCGTACGGCACGTCATTGATGCCGATCCTGATCTGGGCAATCCTATCCACGGCACCCTTGCCAGTGACGTTGAAGTCGGCGCGCATCTTCTCCAGCAACGTAGAAGACCCCGTCCGCCATCTCGAAGAGGCGGTCTTGTCGCTGCTGGCGCCCTCGGCGCTTTTGCCGCTCGTTCTGGGCTGGGTCGCGGCGACGGTGTTGGGGACGACCACATGCACAATGAGCCACTCAAAGGCATCGTGGTTTTCCTGGTTGTTCGCCTTTCTTGTACTCTGGGAAGGTGGCGTGTGTAGCTTGATCCAGTCGCGAATCTCGGCGCGCGTCGTGGCCTTGTACGTGTCGTTGTCGTCGCATCGCACTAGCAGGACCTTGAGATAGGGGGTTCGTCGCAGACCGGGAATCTGGTGCCGCCGCTCTTTCCCAGGTTGCTGCGCCGCCGCCGCCGGTGGCTCGATGTCGTCGGTCGATGCACTCTTGCCGCCGACCTGCTGGGTCTGGAAGCCATCGTCTTGAACGCCTGCGCTGACCGAACGTCTTAGGGTGGCACGAGGCGCAGCGGCAGCTGGGTCGGCACCAGTGTCGACGAGCTCAACGAACAACACATCAATTGATCGAAGAGGTCCGGCATGCGATTGCCAGTGGAGGTTTCGGAGAGGAAGTCGGGGCACGAGGCCAGGGCCTAGGAGTTTGTAGACGCCATGGGGATCGAAGTACTCGACTACAGAACGGGCGGTCAGATCAACGACGTGGTTCTACTTGGTGACAGCTAGAGTTTGGGGCCATACCGGTGACTTTGGATGTCGAGAAGGGGTGTTCCATTATGTTGATCGTATCATCGTGTTCGCATCAAGTCATACAAGCCAAGCAGTACAATGCGCGCACAGTCGTGATGTTGGAGCTTGTCTTGAGCACTGGAGGCAATGTTGAAGCTAGGCTATCACTTGCTCGCTGAGGCAACACGGGGAAAGTAGGTCCGTGCACAAGGGGACAGGGGCCAGGCGCCCCTGACTGTGGCAGCTTAACGGCCTAAGACTTTGTCGTAGGCGGTGAGCCACCACCTGCCGAATCGATTGGCCGATGATGTCGTAGCTTGTAGAGGGGCACGGCAGAACTTTTCATGGAGGGGCAAACAATTGCGACAGTTAGTCTGGGTCAGGCATCGGCAAAGTCTCGTTCATCTCATTCTAGACGCCCCCGACTCATCATCGCGTCTTGACCATCAGTCAGCTTGACACCCAAAACCAAGAACCATGTCGACCCTTCAAGCTGTTAAATATAGCCGGGGAAACCTCGAGGTGTTGGACCAGCTTCGCCTCCCTCACGAGTTTCACTACGACAATGTCTCCACGAGTGAGGAGGCCTTCGACTGCATCAGGTCTATGAGGGTCCGTGGTGCGCCAGCCATCGCCATCGTTGCCAGTCTAGCCCATGCCGTGGAGCTGCACAATGGCAGCTGCCGGGCCACTTCATCCGAGGAAGTCATTTCTTACATCCACGACCGTCTGGATTACCTCAAGGAGAGCAGGCCAACAGCCGTTGATCTGACCAACGCCATCAACCAACTCAAGGCGAGGACGCAAGAGCTTGCGGGACAGGACCGCGATGCCATTATCAAGGCATACATTGAGGAGGCGGAGAACATTTTGGAGAAGGACCTCAAGACCAATCTGTCCATTGGCGATCACGGCGCCGACTGGCTGAAAGACGTGGCGCAGGCTGGTCCTGACAGCAAGATTTCCGTTCTGACACACTGCAACACCGGCTCGCTCGCCACCTCTGGCCATGGTACGGCGCTCGGCATTATTAGGACGCTCCAGTCGAGGGGTTGGCTCAACCACGCCTATTGCACGGAAACGAGGCCGTACAACCAAGGCAGTCGTCTGACGGCTTTCGAGCTGGTCTTTGAGAAGATTCCGAGCACCTTGATCACGGACTCTATGGCCGCCGCTCTCTTCGCCCTGAAAAAGGAGACCATGAACATTTCTGCCGTTATTGTCGGCGCCGATCGTGTTGTGAGGAACGGCGACACGGCGAATAAGATTGGAACCTACCAGCTCGCCGTCTTGGCGAAGCATCACGGCATCAAGTTCATCGTCGCAGCCCCCACGACGAGCATTGACCTCGAGACCATGACGGGCGAGGGCATCCACATTGAGGAGAGGAAAAGGGAGGAGCTGACCCAGATTTCTGGCGCCACTGTTGGGTTGGATGGAAGTGTTGATGTCGCCAAGACTGTGCGCGTGGCCACGGCTGACCAGCGGATCGACGTCTGGAACCCGGCGTTCGACGTGACGCCGCATGACTTGATCGATGCCGTCGTCACAGAGAAGGGTGCCGTTGTGAAGGGGACCAATGGAGAGTTTGACTTCAGCCACGTCATGCCCGAGAGGTGGGCTCGCTTGGTTGGACAGCAGTAGAGGAAGGGCAAGTGAGCGGCTACGAAAATCATCATCAGCGGCAGGGGGAGACGCTTTTTTAATTCAATCAAGACGACTCTTTCAAAGTGTGGAGGATGAGCTTTTCAAATCCGTCCACAGCCGTCTCCAGGTCACCAACTGTCAGGCTCTCATTGTCGCCGTGAGCGACCAGGATACTTCCCGGCCCGTACAAGTACCGCGTGTGGTTGCCCTTGAGGTTAGGAATGTCCGTCCCGTAGTTCATGACGGCCGTGTCGAAACCTGCTGCTGTCAGTCTCATGCAGGTTATTTCCAATGGATAAAAACGCACCGTCCACTTCACAGTTGGCTTCCACAACGCCGTAGTTGTGCGAGATGGTCATAGTAAAAGCATCCTCATCGACCTCATCCAGGATGGCCTGGATACGAGCCTGGACAATGTCTCCGCCGGTCTCCTGGGGACCAATGGCTACGCGGACAGCAATACCGACGAATGCTTGGTCGGGGATGACGTTGGCCGCGACGCCGCCGTCGAATCGGCCAATATTGACCGTTGTGTTACCAAACGTCTCGTCGCTACCGAGGTCAGTCTCCAGAACCTTGGCCAAAGCCCGGATCATGAGATTGTTGGCAGATTTTCCGAGCCAGGGGTACCCCGAATGGCCAGCAACGCCCTTTGCCGTGATGTTGCCGAAGACGCCGCCTTTGTGGCCGCACGCCAACTTGTTCTCCGTGGGCTCTCCGAAGATGACGGCATCGAAGCTTTGAGGGGGGTCCGCTTCCAGGAGAGATTCGGAGAACGTGTGCATACCATCGCCCTGGTCTTCCTCGCCGACGACGAAAAGCAATGAGACATCGTCTTCCTCGACCTTGCCCTCCTTGAGCAGATTCTCAAGGGCCTGGATCTGGGCAACGACGCTGGCCTTGGCGTCGACGCTGCCGCGACCCCAGATCTTCGTGCCCTTGGTCACTTTGCCGTCCTCGATGCCGTAGGGGATATGCGGCGGCACGACATCAATGTGCGATGTCACGAGGACTTTGGATTGCAGCGTCCGTGAGTCGCCTCTCCATGCCAGCACGTTGAAACGACCCTTGGACTTGTCCGTGTTTTTCCTCGACTGGACCTTCTGCTTCTCGACCGAGTAGCCCTTTTGGAGGAGATAGTCAAATAGGAATTGACCGACATCGGCTTCGGTGCCGGAAATGGAGGAAATCTCGACAATGGAACGGTGCAGGTCGAGGAACGAGTTGCGCCAAGCAGGCGCATCGCTGTCGGCTTCTTCTACTGGGTATTTCGAGCTCGGCGCTGTGACCGCGTCACCCAAGGGCAGCTGAGCATCGCTGGAACTGGCAGCACACCGAGCGAGGGCGGCAACGCCGAGAAGTCGGGTGAGCAGCATGACTTGGGGGAAACGCGATTGAAGCTCGACGTTGGCGAAAATATACTTCTTCTGGGAAGCACTGCGCAGGAGGAGATCTGGAGCTCGTTGTGCATTGTGGTTGAGCTCCCGCCTAGCAAGAGCGCATTACATAAGCTCGATGAGGTCATCCCGCTTCCTGATGCTGCAACGCGCGGGCTCTTTCTTTCTCTCCCCCCGCGGCCTTCCCGCTGTGGTGCGACCCTACGACCTGAGATTGCATCTCTGAGACGTCACTCGCTCACTCAGGCTCACATCGTCACAAGAGTCGCGTGTCAATGTCTGGGCTCAGTCTAGAGGCATTCGCACACATGGCTTGAGGGATGGCTTCTGGAAACTTTGGAAACGCACGGCGGTTTCCGACTTGGATCGACCTCAAACAATTGATGACGGACAAATAGTTTGCACCTCACGCACGTGAGCCATTGAGCGCCCATTGGGTGGCCCCTGGTTACTCTAAATGTCCATCTTGCGAATCAGAATCGAAATGGGCCGTAGCAAACTCAACGTTCCGGCGTGGGAGTGCTAACGAAGGTTTGAGCGTGTTGGTGACGACCCGCAGGCCGTACAATGAGATCACTCGGTTGTCATGTGATGGCGCCTTGGCATAGTGAGATCTCCACCAAAAGAGTGCCTGGATCTAGACTCTCTTGGTGCAGCTGTTGAGCGAGCTGAGGGATCGAGAAGGTGTTGTATGTGTCGTGAAGTTGTGACCCAAGAGTTGCATCATGCTGCAGGACTTGCCACAACATGAGGGGACATGCATCTCGCCGAACAAACGATCAGACCATCTGTCAGTGCCAAGTCTACAAGTGGTTCAGCGTACATCCATCCTTCCATCCCCCCCCCCGCTTCATTCAATTTCCACAGCTTGCACAGTCACGACCAGCGTCCCCACATCATCCCACGCCCCGTTTTCGAGACCCACCACGCGCACACCTCCCCGTGCCCCCGTGCCACCGTGCCAGCGTCCCGTTGTTGGCCCTGAAAGTTGGTTCCAACTGGCAATTGAACGACAGTTGCACCGAGAGCTCGTTCGCCTGGCCTCGCCTCAGGCACGCGAGACCAAATCTCCAAAGATCGGCCATCGACTTTCGCGACCACACACCGCCCTGCCCCCAGACCAGCCAAGTCGTGTCTTCCCCGATTCCCGATCCTCGCCAGACCTTCTGCAACGTCGACTTCTCAATTCTTGCGCGCCGCAACCCGCCTCCTCTGTCCGACGAGCCCCTCGATGAACTGCCGCGACCCGAAATCGCCTTCGCTGGCTCACCGACCGTGCTTGACTCTTTGCGATCGCCATCTCCACCACGCCGTTTTCGGTCCCACGCACGCCTAACCTGGCCTCCTCCATCCGGACCCTCCGTCCTGTGCTCGCGGCGGCATGCAGACGGCACGAGGCAAGGCCGACCTGCTGGGTCGCAAGGCCAAGGTCCGTACCGTTGTTTTTTGGGAACTGCCCTCCCCGCCGCGCGCATACCCAGCCGGCATCGCCGCCTGCCATGACCTTGCTGACCAAGTGCACAGCTAGCCAATTCCTACCAAGAGCTTCTCGAGTAGGTCCCCCCGCGCGCAGCCCATAGTGTCCCTGGCTTTCAGTCTAGGTATTCTGACGCGGTGTAGTGAATTCGCGAACAAAGACCTCAAGTCCGTTGGCAACTACACCCTGGGCCGCCTCATCGGCAAGGGCTCCTTCGGCAAGGTCTACCTTGCCAGCCACAAGCTTATCAACAACTCCAAGGTCCGTTTCTCAACCACGCCCTTTACGAAACCTCGGCCTCTTCTGGCTGCTTGCTGACTCTGTGCAGGTTGTCCTCAAGTCTGCCAACAAAACTGATTCCAACCTGGCCCGCGAGATTCACCATCACCGCCAGTTCATCCACCCTCACATTGCGCGGCTTTACGAAGTTATCGTCACCGAGAATCTGGTCTGGCTCGTCCTGGAATACTGCCCTGGTAGGCGCGCGCGAGAGACACAGCAAGCCAGGAATACACACAGACCGCTGATGCAAGACCACAGGCGATGAACTATACAACTACCTCCTGTCTCAGGGGGCCCTCCCCGTCTATAAAGTGCAAAAGATCTTTGCGCAGCTTGTTGGCGCCGTCTCCTATGTGCACCAGCAGAGCTGCGTGCATCGCGACCTGAAGCTCGAGAATATCCTACTCGACAAGAACGAAAACGTCAAGCTTGTCGACTTTGGCTTCACGCGCGAGTATGAGGGCAAGGCCAACTACCTGCAGACATTCTGCGGTACCATCTGCTACTCGGCACCGGAAATGCTCAAGGCGGAAAAGTATGCCGGCGAAAAGGTCGATGTCTGGAGTCTGGGCGTCATTCTGTACGCCCTGTTGTGCGGTGAACTGCCGTTCGACGACGACGACGACGCGGTCACTCGAAGCAAGATTCTCACTGAAGACCCCAAGTTCCCCGAACACCTCCCTGCCGACGCGGTCTCTCTGATGAAGTCGCTCCTTTCGAAGCGGACGCTATTACGACCCTCATTGCCAGATATCCTGGCGCATCCATTCTTGTCCGAATATGCAGCCTCCCAGCAAGCCATTCTGCAGAGCCAGGCCCCACCCACGTTCTCGACTCACTTGGAGAAGGAGACGCTTCACCGCATGAAGGGCGCTGGCGTGAACATTGATGCCGTCATCGAGAGCGTCGTGGCCCAGCGTTGCGATGCGCTGGCTGGCTGGTGGTCCCTGCTCATCGAGAAGGAGGAGAAGAAGCTGAGGAGGAAGGAACAGAAGCGACGGGAGAGAGACGTCGAGAGCAGGAGTCTGCGTCGTCTTTCCGCCGCCTCCAGCAGGCTCGAACGCATGGCGCCAGTATTGCCCGAGGTTGACGAAGACGGGGGCTTCACAAGCGGGATGATGAGGCTGGGGGAGCAGCCGCTGCCTAGAACGCGCGGTAGGACCGAACGTCGCAGCGCGCATTATACCGACTTTGAACTGCCTGGACTGCCCGAACATGGAAAGGAAAGCGGCGGGTCCAGCCCAGATGTGCCACCACGCCCTGTCGACAAAGACTCTATCCGATCCGCCAGCACGTCAAGACACAGGCGCCCGATCCCGCCCCCAAAAGAGGGTGTCATACGCAGTGCGAGATCCAGGGGATCCACGCTTCACCTCGTCACAACGACCGAGGCCCTGTCCTCGAATGGCCCAGGCTCAACTGAGCAGGATACCGAGCCGCAAAAGGTGCGCAAAAGGCCATCGCAGGCGATCGTGGCCACGTGGAAGAACTGGACGCACTGGTTCTACGAAAACACACGCAGGCACAGGCATGCAAACAAGAGAGGAAGCCATTCGACGCCGAATCTTGTCGACAAAAATGGCAGCGTGAACGGGAGCAAGCACTCCAAAGAGCCCAGCCCACGTCCGCAAACGAGCAAATACCCTACCATTGATTCGGGTATTCCGAGGGCTAAAGCCTCGCTGCCCAAAGGCGTTGTGGCTAATGGCCACATTGCCAAGACGATGCCGCCGGCTACGATGGGAGGTAGCCTTCATAGCCCTACGCGGGCACCGGCCTCAATGTCGGGGCCGCATGGCCCGCCGAGGATTACGACCAGTAACTCCTACAAGCGTCAGTCGCTGTCGCCATCGCCGATGACGCCCCGGTCCACCATGCGCCGATCCTCCGCGGGACTGCGTGGGCGCAAGTCAACCTCCTCTTCTGTGTCCTCCATACGCTCCATGCACCACCACCATCACACACACTCCAAAGCGTCATCTACGAGCTCAAACGGCTCAATGTCTGGCGTGAAAACCCCCCTTCAACGGGGTCACTCGCCCCACCACTCGGTCAAGGTCCTGCCTGCGACGCCAACCACCTCGTCCTTCCCATCGAGCCTCCGCCTCGTCAGGGGCTCTGGACCGCCCGCCCCGATTTCTGTTTTCAACGAGGGCATGCCGTCATCCTCCGCGGACCACCAAGCACCAGGCTCGCCGAATCCCTTTGGTGCTGGCGGTGTCCTTTTCGCCAAGCGCAAGCGCAGCCTCTTCAAAGGACCCATGTTATCTCTTAATGGCGGGGGCAGCAGTGCTCGTAGCACTGGCTCTGGCTCCCATTCGCGAAGCGCCAGCGCCTCTGGCCTGGGACGACGATCTGGCGAGATCACAATTCAGGAAGAAGAAGAGGACGACGAGACGGGCGACGATTACATTGAGGAAGTGGAAAATTTTACGCCCGTTGTTAGCGGCCCCGGTGAGCGGGTCGAAGAGCAGATCATTGAGGAGGGCGAGTCGACCGATAATGAGACGACACCGCGCGGCGTTGCGTCGCGAGCGTCACACCACACTGGCCTCGAAGCCAGAGACGCGCCTTGATGTGCGAACGTCCTACACTCACCAATCACGACTTGACGAAGCGGATCACTTACGAACACTGGCGAAGATAAAAGCAGTAGACACGGTTTTCTGACGCATGGGCGTTGATGGGTTGCTTCGATTTGTCTTTTTATTTCTCCTTCGTCTTCGTCTATGCTTACTCCTTGCGTTGTTGCAAAGGATTGTACAACATCTATTTTGTGACGTGGAAAAACGACGGGGAACGCCTCACTCGGTGGCGTGTTTTACTTCTTCTTTTCCTCCCCTAGGGCCCGGAGTTCTTTTGTACCATATTGAGGATACCTTGTACTGACACACACGAGAGTGGACGAAGAGGAAGCGTAGTGGCTGACCGAAGTCTCGGAAGGTTCCTTTGTAGCATTGTAGTCGCAGGGCGGCGAGGGGGGGTATCTAAGGAGCTCTAGCGCTCCATGGTAGTTTCTCAACGGCACACTGAAAATGTGTTTCACTTGATCATCCGAGCGCCTTGAGCGCTGCGCTGAGCCGCGTGTTGACGTCTTCGCCGAGTGTGTTCTTCGGCCACGTCGCCTCCTTTCCCTTCCAAAAGTCCACAGCAGCGCCAGCAATGCCGGCCGCAGCCTCTGGTTGACTGCCGGACAAGTTCAAAGCCGCCCTTGCAGCGC